AGCCACTGCCGGACCTGGGAGGGAGGTATTTTCAGAGAAACGGCACCTCACTGGCTTTCCTGGTTATAGGAAATGACCAGAGAGGTCAGAGCATCGTGACTTCTGGCCTAGGAAAGCAGTGTCTTCGGGAGTCAGAAGTCTCTGTAAACACCACTCAGAGCGTGAACAATGAACGCACACGAGAGCCCTCTGGTGCACTGGGTGTACCTTTATTATGGCCTCGTTCACTAATAGTTCCGTGATGCAAGGTTACCATACACAGTTAGATAATGTCTGCATTGCACACCTAAGGCTATACAGCAAAAGAACCAGAATTAGTACAAATACAAGAACTATATTTACATTCTGTATACCCAAGCTCCAAACATCAGATAGTATTTACATAATAAAACATGAACATGAACATCAGAAATTAATAATGTACATACATTGTTGCTGATGTGCTCAACTCCTTCACTGGGGAGAGATCAGTTTGCAAAGTCCTGGTTCAGAAAGGCCACTTATGTTCATGGGTTTGTTTAATGCACAAGGAAGGTGACGTGAGGATTGAAATCTCAATGGACAAACACTTTGGAGCCACGAAGTCAAAGACGGTGCCTTCCGGGTGAGAAGGCCGATGGAGTCCTCAGGCCAATGGATGCCAAACACGCAGGGTGAAATAACTCGGAGACATGAAAGGACACACGACAGCCAGGTTCGGCGAGACCAACCTCAGCTCGGACTTCCATCTGAGCACAGCGATCTGGCTGTGGGTTTTTAACATGAAATTTGTACCAACTCTAATTGCTTCCTTTAAATGATTTAGCAGCTTTCCCAAGATTTTATGGGGCTCGAATACGAATTTCATAAATGGCCTTTTGAACAACAAAAGCAGATCCTCTCTCAGATAACTCAGTGCATTCCTATCGCACACAGTAAGGGTTTGGCCATGCACGTGGCTGAGTCATCCAGGGCGGGCGGCTGCAGTCCACGCGTCAGAGTCCCGTTTCGAGTACAGTCAGCACAGCTTCTGAGAGCAGCAGCGGGATTAGAATTCTCTTTAAGGGGCAGGTTAACAATCACATTTAAAAAAGGACCCAAAGGAAAGATGAAGGACCCCAGTCAAACGAACCAACAACAAGCCCTGACACTGCCCAGGGGAACCGAGAGGCATGCGGCACCGGGGATGCTGGCGCCGGCAGGTGCCACACGCGAGGTCAGCCTTTCTTTTCCAGTCCAATGTGCAATTAATTACAGCTGTATAAATATACAAATACCTTACAGAATTTAATTTAATTAAATAATGAGAGAACAAGCAGCAGGCAACAAAGTCTTTGCTTTGATATATGTGCCAGGAGAAGTCATTTTGCTTTCAGATCCCAAAAGGCCTTTCGCAATGATTTAATTTATCTTTTCCTCTTAAAAGAGCTGGAAAATATCCAGCAAAACTATGAGTGTCTGTGTAAGTTCTGCAGAGCTGAAGGGAAAGAGATACATAAAACAGGGTTTCCTGGTTGGGAAGGTCAGTGGTTAACGGTGTGCAGGAATTTGGGACCCGCCCAGCTGCCAGAGCCAGCCCTGCCGGTGCCCTGGCCGTGTGCAGGGGCTGGCTGGCCCCGCACAGCCGGTCCGAGAGCTGGCTGACCCCCAGGCCGGCACAGGAGGCAGCATGAGCACTGGCTTGGTGAGCACTGGCTTGGTGCGGGCTGAGAGGCCGGATTTTGCTCTGGCAGGAGAGGATTGGGAACGAGGGGACCAGAGGGTTACTTTTAACTAGCATTCATGCTTCCTTCATTTGTGTAAGAGTTTTCTTTCTTGCCCCCCCCCCCTTTTTTTTGCTTGTTTAAAGGAGTGATTTGGAAAAAAAGAAATTAAAAACCCTCAAAAGGTGGTTTTCCTAAAAGGTCAAGTTCATTCCTCAACTTTCCTGGCCCCATGCTTCAGCGAAGGCCTCAGAAGAGGTCCTGTCTGAAACCCTCTCTCAGGACTTCAAGGTGGGGATGAACCTGTCTGGAAAGGGAACATCAACCCTGAAACGTCCAACTCGTTTGAAGATGGGCCCCAGAGAAAGAGGGGTACCAAAAGGGGCTGCTGTAACCGTCAGCCGCGCCAGAGGCCCCTCGGACGGGAGAGCACACGAGATCCCGCGTGCCGCCTGTTCTGGGAGCTGACACTCCAAAGCAAAGACTTTCCCAGCCAGCTGTGTCTGAGTTAGAAGGAGAAACCCAAGTTATGTCAGTGTCTCACACGATTCCTCTCCCTCAGCCTTCCCACCTGTTGCCACACAGAAGTTCTATCAAACTTCCTCACAGCAGCAGCACCCATGATTTGATTCTAAAAGTAACCTTCCAATGTCACTTCCCTGAAATTATACTTAATTCCGGCCCAGGAAGCTGTCTCTAAGCACGGACAGATCCCAGGTTGGGCAGGTTGTGTCCATTAGATAATGCAGAAACCTCTAACTACATTAAAAACGTCGCTTAGAAAAACTAGTAACATTAGTGTTAGTGACCTATGTTTTAAGGAGAAGGAAGTTTAAAAAATCGAGTTTTATTGACCACTTTTCAGGTGAGGTCACAGCCTGCGGTTCTGTCCTTTCTCTTATTACCTCTCCCTGCCTCACTCCCGCCCCTTGGCAAGGCAACAGTCCCTGTTCTGAGATGAGCCCAAGCGGGGAGGGTGGAAGCAGGGGCTGAGCTGCCAGCAGAGTGCGTGACGCCTGCCCTTGGCCACTGAGGCAAAGCCACCCAGTTCCCCAGCTGAGAGGGAGCAACCCCCAGGCTGAGGCCCACCATCTCCACAAAGCGGGAACCAGCAGACTGTCCTGAGTGCCCTGCCCACGGGGTGGTCAAGCAGAAGTCTGAGCAAGGGAGTGAAGGACGGAATAAACAACCCAAGCCGACCAATGGCGCAGCTGCTCAAGGAAGCGGCCTTTCTCCCTCCAGGTCACTCTGAAACCCTGCAGGTCAGGAGCCTATCAGCTTCCTCCTTCCTCCTCTGGCTCCGCCTCCACACCCGATGGCGAAGCAAGGCGAGGCTTGGGGTCCCCTTGGGGTCTGGGCTCAGGGGGGTCTTTCCTCTGCCCCCAGCTGTCCTTTCGCTTTGTTCTTAGCGGTGGAGCGGCTGGATTTGATCCTGGGGTCCAGCACACAGTCTGCCATGCCGGCTTATTTATGAGGATAGGGACAGGCATCGCTGACAGTCTTTCCAGTCTGACAGAGATTACTGAAAACAACCACTGGTTCAGAGGAGACTTCCGGGTTCATACGTGAAAGCTACATTTCTTTGATCAACAGGAGCTACAATCACAAGGTCATCAATCACTCAGCATTACAAAGACCATCAGGTTCCTCATGAGAAAGCGAAGCACTCCCCCTGGTGGGACATCTGTGTATGACATCACAGATTCCAACCCCATCACCGCCAATGCCAAGAACAGAACAGAGAGGAGGCTCCTGTCCAGACTACAAGCAAGTTCACAGGAACCCTCCTGACCGTCCCACCCACCCATGGCCCACCCCCACTCTATGCTCTTCCCTTCTGACAAGTCAGCAGCAGCCCCTGCCTCGGGGGTTAGAAGCCCTCTCCTCTCCTCTCTTCCACTAACTGAAAACTGCATACCCATGTTCTAAGCAAGCCCGGCTTCAGAGAATATACCTGCCCCATTGCTGAGCTCACCACAACCTTCTCCCTGAATGGAAACGCAGGGATCAGTGAGGGAAGAAAGCAACAGAGGGAAAAAGGTAAGCTTTTCCCTCTCAGCTTCCAAAAGGCCAATGTCTCCTCTCTTTGTCTCTAAGCCACCGAAGAAAAATTAAAGTGAGAGCACAAACAGAGAAAAGAAAAATGTAATATGTTGTCTGGAAAAAAGACAGATATCCAAAGACAGCAGGACAGACAGCAGGCGGTCACAGGGGGAGCTCGCATACAAAAGGAAGCCGAGAGTCACTGGATTTCCCACTCTGTGTTTTTGTTTGTTTTGTTGTATGTGTTTTTCCCCATTTGTTAGGCCACATGCTACTAACAAGATTCTCAGCACAGGAAAAAAGAAAAGGGTACAGAGCAATGGAGATGGGGAACAGGAGCTAGAGAAGGGCTGGACGGGAGGGAAAGTAGTTAAGCCACAGGATTACATACAAGAGCAACCGTCAAGAATCACAAAGAGAAACAGAGGTAACACTTCTTCCTTTATCTCTGGGAAGGCGGTGAGGGCGCAGCGCTCAGTACTTCGGCTGGCTCGAGCATCTGCGGGCAAGTTTTGACCTGGGGGTGACACACAGAGAGAGGCCTGTTAGGGAACTGGATCAGGCCTTTCTTCTCACAGGCCTCTTCTCCCACGGGCCCCTCCTTGGACTTCTTCCCAAACTGCTGCAGACCCAGGTCGCAGGCACTCTGAGCAAACAGGCTGGGCTGTGGGCTTCCCGCTAGGGGCTGGGAGGCGGGTCACAGTGCTGCATAATGACTGGCAGACTGCTAAGGACCTCCCAGTCTTCCCTTTGCTCAGCCCCGCAGACCTGGCTGCAGAGCCCTTGAGAAGAAAAAGTCAAAGCAGATCGGTTAAATGCAAACGTGACCAGCGCCTCTTTAGTCTCTCCGGACACCAGAGGTTCACTTCTGAGAAGCTGAGGCCTTGTCAGCAACCACAACCGAGCACTTACACCCCTGCCCTTCCCTATTTTATTTTATTTTATTTTATTTTTTTAAATATATTTTATTGATTTTTGTACAGTGAGGAAGGGAAAGAGACAGAGAGTTAGAAACATCGATGAGAGAGAGTCATCGATCAGCTGCCTCTTGCACACCCCCTACTGGGGATATGCCCGCAACCAAGGTACATGCCCTTGACCGGAATCAAACCCGGGACCCTTCAGTCCCCAAGCCGACGCTCTATCCATTGAGCCAAACCGGTCCCGGCTGCCCTTCCCTATTTTAAATCTGTCTGCAACAAGCCTTCCTTCCCTATTCACGCTGATGTTCCGGGGACCAAAAGCCAAGGAAGGAAACGCAGGACAGCTTCTCACCGTATTGTGCCAGCAAGGAGAGGATTGAAGGCATATAACCAGTCGCTCATATCCTTGTCGTTGAGGGCCTGCAAAAGGACCCCACGGTGCTTCGTGCACACAGCAAAGATGTTAGGACTCTGAAAGAGATGCAGGTAGGCGAGAAAGTTATGTGGGCTGAGCAATGGGACACCGGCCATATTCACAGGGCATACGGCATGTGGCCCTGGCACTTCAGGAGCCAGATATGTCACACAACAGAACCCAGACCTCAGAGGGAAGGCATGCTTGGTGATGAGAAGCCGAGAGAGGGGGACTGACCTTCACCATGGCCTGCTGGTCCTCGCTGTATTCCACCTGCGCTGTGGACAGGTTAATGATGCCACGTTCCACCGGGTCCTTGTCACTGTTATAGATGAAGACGTAAGGGCGACGGACCACAACAAAATGCTTAGCCCAGTTGCTGGAAAATGGCTCCTTGAAATGCAGGTATCCTTTCTTGGAAACCACTGAGCTGAAAAGGACAATAAAGACAGGCTTGTTTCTCACAAAAAAAGAAAGTGATTATGAGCTGAAGACCATCAACATACGTCTCATCTAGGCCAAGTCCCTCGTGTGAACAAAGCAGGACAATGTCAATTTGGCCTAGGACCTTATCTGCCAAAGCAATAGGCAAGAGGAGACAGCACCAGAGCATGCTGAGCAGGTGGTGCGCGATGGCACAGCTGGGCGGAAACCCAGCCGGAGCTTCCACCCGGAACCATGTGCATCACACTGCAACAGAGACCTTACCTGCTTTAATACCCAGCATCTCTGGGTAGAGTACTCACCCTGGTCTAATTTCTTCAATATCTGGAACAAGGTTGAGAAATTCATTTTTCCCTGCTCGGGCCAAATACGGTGTTTCCACAGTTGGGACAATCTGAAACTGCTCAAATTCTGGACAGGGACTAGAGGCCTGGGAATTGGCTTCTGGGGTCCTTTAAAAGAGAGGTTAGAGGTCAGGGATAACAAGAGCTTCAGTGAGGAACGCGGACGTGTACAACCATCCCACCAGCAGGAACGAGGCCTCTCCGCCCAGCAGGGCCCTGCAGACATCAGGCTCAGAGAGCTGCCTGGGTGGACAGGTTGGCCAGAATGGTCATCCCACAGGCCGACGGCTCCTCCTCCAGAGGCTGAGAGGAGGCTGCTCACAGATGAGCACATGTCACTCAGACCACCTCCTATCCTGAGGCCCTGATCAGAAGTGTCTGGAACATGACTTAATCCCTCTCTTTCAATTTAGTCCCAAGGTCACCTAGCACAGCGGCTCTCACAGTGAGGACCCCTGACCAGCAGCGTCGGCTGTTCCTGGAAACCCGTTAGAAATTCAAATGCTCAGGCTCCAGCCCAGCCTAGAGGACCAGGAACTCCCTCTGGGTGGGGTTCAGCCACGTGGGCCTAACAAGCCTCCCTGGATGCACCACAGCCTGGGGGGCTGAGAGAAAGCAGATCAGTGGGGGAGGGGTGTCTCTGAATGCCCATGAGTTGCCCAGCTGCACCCGCCCCGGGCCAGTCCAGGATGTGCGGGAGAAGTCACTCCTCTGCTCTGCAGGGCGAGTCCTCTTCGGGCAGCAGCCTAGCCTAATTAACTGTACTTCATCGATTACAAAAAGCCCATTTGCAAATGCCTTCCCATCCCTCAAATTGGATGCGTCTTAACACTCCACGGTGTGTTACATTTTAGTTGGCAGTGCTTTGTCTTTCTTAGTGGCACATTAAATAATGTCTGACAGTCAATGCAGCCTAGAATTAATTAGACTGCTCTTTGTTATTTCCTCCAGCCACATTCAATTATGCGAGTGCTGGTACAGTCAGATAGACAGCTGGCTGATAATGAGGTGGGCTCTGACAGGGGAGCGGAATGAATGGAGACAGGGCAAAGGAGTTTGAGGTGCACTGTACTGATGAGTTCACATTAAAGTTGTCTCCATCAGTCTTACCTATTCATTTTATTTTTTGTATCATTAAAATATTTTCCTCCAAATTCATTTTAAAATATCTTCCCCAAGATGGGGCTTCCTATGCCGGATATGACTGAGGAGAGAAGCAGCGTGGGAGCGGAAGGACAAGAGAGCGGAACGGGACTAAGAGGAGCCAATGACTTGGTGCAGGAAGTTAGGGAGAGGTGATATTGAAAGATGTCGGTAGCATCTCTCCAGACTTGTGACACCTAGAGAAGGCTCCCCATGTTTCCGGGTGCTGCCTGCGGGTGGCTGCCCTCAGCAGAGAACCACTGAGCTAGGAAGACCGGCACTCCCCCCGGTTCTTAGATAGCTTCTCGCGGAAAAACCTGGCACCTACTTCTGATCCAGAGAGGGGCAGGTGGAGGAGGGAGTGAGGGTCGAGCTGCTGAAGCTGGACACAGAGGGATCCCGTCCAATTGGAGAGATGTCCGACAGCTGGAAGAAACGGAACAGAGCGAGTGAGATTCAGATGGAAAAAACTGCCTGTGCAATGAGCAGCTTTGACAACCAGTGATCTCGCTTTAAAAAATACCCTGCTTCAGGTCATTAAAGAAAACAAGCCTTACAAATACATATTTTATGGCCCTAGTGTCCTGGTAGGTATGACATTTACGAAAGAGGCAAGGCTGGCTTTTTATATTGCCACTGCCCTCCTGCATTCATGAAATGAGCCAAGCACTAGCACAGCAGACAAAATTCTAAGAATGTGGCGGAGGACCTGTCCTACTGGAACTTATACTCCAAGTGAAGAAGGTGGACAATAAGCCAGTCAACACACACATCAGGCTCCGGCTGGTTGGAGCGTCACACATACACCAAAGGGTGAGGGTTCAATTCCCAGTCAGGGAACATACCTAGGTTTCAGGTTCGATCCCAGGTCAGGGCATGTATGGGAAGCGACCAATCAATTTTTTGTTTTTCTCTCCCTTCCTCTCTCTCTCAAATCAGTAAGAACATATTCTCGGGTGGATCAGAAGAATGTCAGGGAGTGATAAGAGATATAGCAAAAAATGAACCAGGGAAAGAGAAGTTTCAGGGAGTTCTTGGCTTTACAATGTATGGTTTACAATATTTAAACTAAAAAGGAAACATCTGTGAGCCAATCTTGGAAACATCTGGAAGAAGACTATACTGGGCAAAGAAATGGCAAAGGTGCAAAGACCCCGCTTGGCGGAATAAGCCAAAAAGGTCCTGGCTAGAACCGAGCGAATGACCCAGAAGTTCTTTAAAGTGTCCACCTCACTGTGTGTGGAAGGCAACAAAATCTCATGCCACCGAGAACCTCAGGCCTTCTGTGTCCTGTCACACATGACAAATCACCCCCTACAGAATATACAAGGCGTTCAGGGGAAAGCCAAAATAGTTCCCATCTGATAATCCCTCTAAGAGACACAGAGACACACTTTCACCTTCAGAAGTCAGTACTGTGGGAAAATCAGAAACAAGAGCAGATATGTCATGCATCCTCAAATACTATGCTCTGCCCATGTCAAGCCACCTAAAAGCAGCATGAGCTGGGGACAGGAAATGGGAGCGGCTCACCTTACAGTCACTGATGCTGCCGTGCACCTGGCTGAACTCTCGGTTGAAAGTGTGGGTGAGAAGTTGCAGACACTAGGAAAAAGAAAGGGAGCATTAAATTTTTTAATTTTATTTTTTAATATATTTTTTATTGATTTTTTACAGAGAGGAAGGGAGAGAGAGAGCTAGAAACGTCGATGAGAGAGAAACATTGACCAGTTGCCTCTTGTACACCCCCTATCGGGGATGTGCCCGCAACTAAGGTACATGCCCTTGACCGGAATTGAACCCGGGACCTTTCAGTCCGCAGACCACTGAGCCAAACTGATTTCAGCTAAAATTTTTTTTTTTAAGTTCTTTATTGTTGACTCCTTCCAGCCCACCCCTGCCCACTCCACCCCAGGCCTTCAGCACCTATTGTCTGTGTCCATGGGTAATGCATATGTGTGCATACAAGGTCTTTGGCTGATTACCTCCCACCTACCTACACTCTCCCATCTTCCCTGAGAATTCGCACTCTGTTCCATACTTTGATGCCTCTGGATCCACTCTGTTCATCGCTTTATTTTGTTACTTAGATTCCACATGAGAGCGATCATGTGATACTGGTCTTTCTGACTGACTGGCTGGCACCCTCCTAAGCCAGTTCATGATGCTCTCTAGTGGAGGTCTCATCTCTGGCTCCCACGACACCTGGACATACACCTCTATGAAATGCTTGTCACCATGTGCATGGAAGCTAACTAAGCCCTTTGTTTCTATTTCACAGTGTTGGTGCAGCCTGGAAACAGGCCCTCAAAGAAGGAAGATGGAACGGAAACTGATTAGTCTCACGGCAAATGCCCAGCCGAGGGAAGGGAGTCACACCTTGGTGGCCAGCTCTTTCTCGCGGTCCACCAGGCTTTCAATGTCTGTGGAGTCGTAGCCACTGCTCTCGCTGGGCGTGATGGCACTTTCAAAGGTGGTGGTTGAGATCTGAGAGGAGATGCTGGTGGAGGTGCTGAGGGTGCCACTGCTCAGGCTGGGGGACAAGGAGTCGCTCAGGGATTTGGGGGTGCTGTCACCAAGTCTCTCACGCAGAAGCAGGAAGTGGCGGGTTTTCTCCACCTAAGAAGAGCAACACTGTGGCCTCAGCAAACACAAAGCTCACTATGATTTTAGTAAGTACAGTATAATGCCTCATGGTGATGGAACCCTGGAAAGCCAGGATCACACCGAGGTGGTGACGGAGAGTCTCTGGCCCGAGCTTTCATCTGAGCACTTTTTCCTCCCACCAAAACCCCCACCCCCACCCCCACCCCATACCTCATGGATGAGCTCCAGCTTCTCCAGCTCCCACTGGTGCTCCAGGATGAGGCTGTCCCCACGGGGCCGCCAGCCAGCTAAGTTCTCCTCCCCCCGCACATAGGCCACTGACGTGTCCAAGACTTTTCTCCTCCTCCTCTGCATGCCTGAGGCAAGAGGAAATAACGTTTTTTGAGAAAAATCCCATTCCAACGTTACCTCAAAATGAATGGATAATTCATATACATGATGAACTAAGAAAGACTTGGTCTGTAGATACATGGGATTTTGTTAATAATTCAATCCCTTTGAATTCAAAGAACTCTTTAAATTTCTTTTAAAAGTGAGATTTATATTATTTGATAATTATGAAGACTGCAATGCAACTTGAGAAAAAGGTATTATGTTAAGTGAAAATATAGAGGTGATTACATAGTCTGTACACGATGGTCCCCAAAATATTAAAATACACCCATACATACATACACCAACATTCAGTAGTTCAGATGACAGTTGGCTTTACCCCATCATCTCCCATCAATTTTGTAAACGTTAAACTGTTTTCACATATAAAAGACATAAATTCATGTTAATTAGATAATCCTCAAGGAACTCTCTGGACACTATAATTAGCTGCTATTGGGACTTAGAATCATAATCAAAGTCTTCTTTTTTTAAATCTAAATCTTACCTGTGAGCCCTGACCTCTTCCACATATGTTCTCTAAAATGATTCAGACTCATATTAACCAAATGGTTTTTTTTAAAAGTCCTGACTTTTATGCCCTGGTTGCAGGCTTGATCCCAGTAAGGGGGTAATGCAGGAAGCAGCCAATAGATGTTTTGCTCTCATATAGATGTTTCTCTTTCTCTCTAAAAATCAGTAAAAATATTTTTAAAAGAATGACTAATATTAAAAGCAAAAACCTTTTGTCCATGTTCCAGTTTACAAACATACAAATCCAAAGTGCTACTTAAGACCACCGAGCTGAAGGATCAGAGCCCAATGAGACATCAAAAAGGACACAAACAAGTTCAACTAGATTTGTCTTCTCGAGCACAGGAAGTTCAAATTCTAGTTTGACAGCATCTGGGAAGTGAGATACTACCAAGTTAACCTTGGGGCTAAGCTGGATAGTGAAAGGGTTATGAAGTTTCCCATACCGAATTTATTCTAATAGACTTGACTATTTTATTTTATTATTATTATTTTAAAAAAATATATTTTATTGATTTTTTTTTTTTTTTTTTTTTTTTAGAGAGGAAGGGAGAGGGATAGAGCGCTAGAAACATCAATGAGAGAAAGACATCGATCAGCTGCCTCCTGGGGATGTGTCCGCAACCAAGGTACATGCCCTCGACCTGAATGGAACCTGGGACCCTTCAGTCCTCAAGCCAATGAAAGCTCTATCCACTGAGCCAAACCGGTTAGGGCCACGTGACTATTTTATAATATCACATATCCCAGGAACATTTTGTTCGGTAAAGTTTTTGTTTGTTTAAAAATATATTTTATTGATTTTTCACAGAGAGGAAGGGAGAGGGATAGATAGCTAGAAACATCGATGAGAATCATCGACCAGCTGCCTCCTGCACACCCCCTACTGGGGATGTGCCTGCAACCAATGTACATGCCCTTGACCGGAATCAAACCTGGGACCTCTCAGTCCGCAGACCGATGCTCTATCCACTGAGCCAAACCGGCCCCAACTCGGTAAAGTTTTTATAACTGTATTGCACGTCACAAAACAAAGTGATGTAACTGAGAAAAATATAGCACCAAAAACCTGGCTTGTAAAATATGCTTGGTTTCTAATAAAGTTTCTCTCTCTTCTACATGGGTAAGGTAGATTTTTTACATGATACACTCCAAACAGATGCAAAGACAACTATCACCTCCCCATCCATTAGCTCTTACCTGGACTACCTGTGTCTGCCATTTTGCATAAACTGAGTTCATAAATTCCAGTGACTCGATTGCTATTTAAATTAAAACAAACAATTACTTAATATATCACAGAAACAGGAAAATCTGAATTCTCTCTACTTAGAGAGCACTGTTTCCTCTGTAGGGACTGCAACCCACCCTCAGACATAAGTATCTTATTTCTTTTCCTATTCTGAACTTAATTTTTTCATACAAGGAATCTGTTTTCATTGCAATCTTTTGAATATTTTTATTTAAATAGGATGAATAAAGTTGAATGATAAAGTTTACAATACGAATATAAAAATTAAAAATGTGTCTTTTCTTACTGCAAGAGAGAAAAGTTGGAGGAAGTCTGACTAGAATGACCATCAAATTCTGGGGAGTGTGACTAGGGAGTGGTACTGACCCTTCTATTATATCTTATGCTGGGTGGTGATGCGTTAGATATATTTTTGTATATCTTAACTATGAACAAATCTTTGAAAGAGAAAAATTCCAATGGTACTCTGTTAGAATAATGTTGACACTTTATGCCAACATTCAAGTCACTGCATCCCAGGTGTCAGCACCATAATGGCTGTGAACTACCTTGAAACGCCAAGCAAGGGCTACCTTGAGCTCTGCTGGTTCTGTGCTGGGCAAACCAACTGGAAGCTAAACTTGTCTCAAAAACTTACGAGTCCGGTGACTTCGAGTAGCCACTGCCAAAGAGGCTGCGCAGGGAGCGTGGGGGTGAGATCTTGGCGTCCCGAGAGTAGAAGACCATGCACACGTCCTTGGTGATGACAGCGGGCTGGATGCAATGATCCAGCTGAAAGCAGACGGGAGGGGGCCCATTAGATACAGACGGAGCATCTGCGACAGAGTCTGTGCCCTACATTTAGAACGCTGGTCCTGGATGTGGGGCTGGAGGATTCCAGCTCTACCAACTATTTCAGCAGCAACCCAGCCCATAATATGTGGTGGTGTTCCTTGCAGATGCATTTAATTTCAAAGTTTTATTCTGTGATAATGGCTAACATGTGTTGTTCTAAATCCTTTCATATAGCATCTTAACAACGTTTGGAGGAAAATGCTACTGTTGCAGCTTAAGAAAGGAGGAAGTCAAGGCACAGAGAGGTGAAGTCACTGGACCAGAGACATGCGGGCGGCAGTGGCAGCACAGGGATTTAACTCAGACAGGCTGCTTCCAGAGCCTGCTGTTAGCCACCACTCGGCTCTGTCCATGACTGTAAAAGCAGGAGGCGAAGCTTTCTTAAAATCATACATTCTTTGAAGAATGATGAGGAGGGTACTAATGCTGAAGCTATAAGAAAAGTCATGTGACTTTTGATTAAATAGAGATTAGGAACAGAAACTAATATAATCAGAACAGTTAGCAAAGCATAATCAAGTAAATAACTTGTCCTGGCGGGTGTAACTGTTTGCAGAGCAGCGTCCTGTAAGATGTGTTTGATTCCGGTCAGGACAAGTTTGGGAGGCAACCAATTGCACGCTCTCACTCTCAAATTAATGTTTTAAAAAGCTCATCTTTTAACAAAGTAATTAACTTCGGATGTGGAGGGAGAAAGGACGTTAGTGGAATCTTTCCTCCTCGTTTCCTCCTCTAGCCCGACCACTGTTCGGGGCTGCCTGTTCATAGAAACTCAAGATTCGGGTCTCCTCACCTCTAGGTAGGCCGACAAGGTCATGTAGATCTTTTCCCCGTAGGGTGTCACTCGGTTGAGAAGGAGGGAGTTGTGGAGGGAGCTGTCCCACACGGCCTCAAAACGGTAGAAGGTCCTAAGGGCAGAAAGGCAAGAGAAAGTCATCCAACAGCTGAAGTCACTTTAGCCCAGGCCTATCCCTGTCATACATCACAGAACCCAGGCAAGCAGCTCTCAGTTCTCTGATGTCTAGCAGCAGAGTGGGACCTTCACTCCAGGAGGAAAGGGCAGGACTCCTCCTCTGTCCCCGCCCACCATCAAGGGGCAGCTAGCTATACTATTTTTAAAATTTTTATTTTGAACAGCCTGCTTCTCCTCTGCCTAAAACAGAAACAGTGAGATCAGCCACAGGGACTAAGATGAAAGGATAAGTGAGTATGGACAGAAAGTGAAAGAAGAAAGAAAGACTAAGTATGATCCTCTGTTGATCAAGAAAAGGAAGCAAATACTCGGTAATGTGTGGGCAGCAGTCATCATGTCACAGCCCACTTCTGCTGGCCTCACAAATGTCACAAACATATCTGGGAGAATCACTGGAGGAAACAGCATAGAAAGCCTAGCTTTGAATAAAAGAACAAGAGGTTCTTCTTAGCTGATGTGTCAGTAAAATGATTTTTAATACCTGAGGTAGCCAACTACTGTGTGTCAGTTAAAAACACACACAACTCACTTGAAAGTCAATCTTACATTTAATAACTAGAAGTGTGATTTAATGACTTTTTATTTATTTATTTTTTAAAAGAACATAGATTTGGCTATTTATTTATTAATATATTTCATTGATTTTTTTTTTTAAAATATATTTTATTGATTTTTGTACAGAGAGGAAGGGAGAGAGATAGAGAGTTAGAAACATCGATGAGAGAGAGTCATCGATCAGCTGCCTCTTGCACACCCCCTACTGGGGATATGCCCGCAACCAAGGTACATGCCCTTGACCGGAATCGAACCCGGGACCTTTCAGTCCCCAAGCCGACGCTCTATCCATTGAGCCAAACCGGTCTCGGCATCATTGATTTTTTTACACAGAGGAAGAGAGAGGGATAGAGAGTTAGAAACACTGATGAGAGAGAAACATCAATCAGCTGCCTCTTGCACACCCCCTACTGGGGATGTGCCCGCAACTAAGGTACATGCCCTTGACCGGAATCGAACCCGGGACCTTTCAGTCCGCAGGCTGACACTCTATCCACTGAGCCAAACCGGTTTCGGCTGATTTAATGACTTTTTAAAAAATTAAATTTCTTGGGGTGACATTGGTCAGCATGAACATACAGGTTTCAGTTATAAGGTTTGTACATTGCACCATGTGGGACGAGTAGGGGTTCTAACATATGGTGACAGGAGATGTGACTAAGTGGGTGCCATGATTTTTTAAAAGTTGTTCTAGTACCCTGTTTCCCCGAAAATAAGACAGTGTCTTATATTAATTTTTGCTCCCAAAGATGCGCTAGGTCTTATTTTCAGGGGATGTCTTATTTTTCCATGAAGAAGAATACAGTACACATTTATTGTTAAATGAAAATAAAGGAAATGTATTACCTGTATACGGTACAGTAGTACGGTAGTTGTCAACACAAACCAGATAAACTGTGAATCCTACAATATCAAGAATTTACTCGTTTATTCAATGACAATCATGTCATTATCTTCTGGAACATCATCCTAACAATCCAATTCCTGAATTTCCTGGTGAATTTCTTGTGACTCCATTTCTTTCAGAATCAGTGGACCAAATCTCTCATGTTTAGCCTAGGGGGGGTGCCTTATTTTCGGGGGGATGCCTTATATTTCACTCAGAAGGAAACCTGTAAGTCGGTCTTATTTTCGGAGGATGTCTTATTTTCGGGGAAACACGGTAGCTTTCTTTTTCCTAAGGGTGAAACACCATAGACCCTAACTGGCATTAACCCTCCAGTCCAGCACGTCTCCTCTGAAGCACTGGACTGAGGAATGTAGTTACATAGCAGCTCCTAATGCTACGGCAGTCTCCCTTCTCAGACCCCATAACGAGTGTGCGGGAAGACACCTGTCTACCCAGCAGAGTGGATTTCCCTTGCCATTAGCTCTCTGCATGTGCAATACACCTCACCCGACTCAACAGAAGTTTTTATTTTTAAAATTATATGTTCATTGATTTCAGAGAGGAAGGGAGAGGAAGAGAGAGATAGAAACATCAATGATGAGAATCATTGTTCAGCTGCCTCCTGCATGATCCCCACTGGAGATTGAGCCCCAAACCTGGGCATATGCCCTTGACCAGAATCGAACCCAGGACCCTTCAGTCCGCAGGCCGATGCTCTATCCACTGAGCCAAAACAGCCAGGGCTCAATGAAAGTTTTTGGACACTTTGTTCCCTGTCCAATACATTCCTCCTGCCTCCTTCCCCAATGGTGACCTCACTGTTGGTGGTATTCTTCTCTCTAAATATGTTCCCATGCTTCTTCCTTTAGAACCGACCACAGAGAAAACAAACACACTCTGACAGCACTCCTTAACCACCGTCCTCCAAGTGCCTGTCTTTTCCATTTGTAGCTCCTAGATCCAAGTCTTCTTCTTTTCTTTCTTTCTTTTTAAAAAAAATATATTTTTAATTGATTTTTTACAAACAAACAAAAAAAATCAATGTGAGAGAATCATCGATCAGCTGCCTCTTGCACACCCTCCACTGGGGATGTGCCAGCAACCAAGGTACATGCCCTTGACCGGAATCGAACCCGGGACCTTTCAGTCCACAGGCCGACATTCTATCTACTGAGCAAAACCGGCTTTGGCTCTTTTCTTTTTTGATAGTTTCTTTTCTTTTCTTTATTAATTAAGTAATTACATACGTGTCCTCATCCTCCCACTAGTCCCCCTATCCCTTCACTCATGCCCTTACCTCCCTGGTGTCTGTGTCCATTGGTTAGGCTTATATGCATGCATACAAGTCCTTTGGCTGATCTCTCTCCCTTAACCTCACCCTCTCCTATCTTCCCTCTGATTTTTGACGGCCTGATCAATGCTTCTCTGTCTCTGGATCCTGTGTTTGTTCATCAGTTTATGTTGTTCATTATATTCCACAAATAAGTGAAATCATGTGATGTTTATCTTTCCCTGACTGGCTTATTTTGCTTAGCATAATACTCTCCATGCTATTGCAAATGGTAAGAATTCCTTGTTTCCAAATCTTAGCTATGGTAAATTGTGCTGTTATGAACATAGAGGCGCATATATCCTTTCTGATTGGTGTTTCTGGCTTCTTGGGATATAGAAGTACTCCTTACTCTCTCACATGCTAGTTAGTAGGATCAAGAAAAGTCTCTACAAGGCCACCAAAGGAATGTAGCCACAATTAACAAGACAAAGACGGAGATAAGAAGGAGATAAAAATAGGATGGAAGCCTGTGCCACTGTTTAGGTTTCATGACTTTTTCAACAGAGGCAAGGATTTCAATTTGTGCAAGAAAGCTTCTTCACATTTTTGTTTTCAGGATGTTTTCATTTAACCTAAAGAGAGCATTTCACTGGTAGCAACTTGGCTAACATAAAGGAATTTTTGACTCCACCTAAATCTTCGGGTATCGGGGAGGGTGGTTTTGCTTGGTGTGTAGGAGTTACTGCAGCACATTCTTTTGGAATACCCACCAAAGATGGCAGTTCTTGAGAGATGGTGGTAAGAAATACAACCAACACTAGTAATGTCAACTGAATCAAGCTAATAAGAGAATTCAGAGTTAGAAACAAGGCTGAATCTTGAGACATATTTTTCTGTATGGCTCCTACAGTGGCTAGGAAATGATTTCAAGTGGATTTCCAGAAATGTCTGAATAAAGGCCCCTTGTGTGAGTGTGTGTGTGTGTGCCTCTTTAAAAAAACATTGAAACGTTTTAGGCTATACAGTCATGTATCATTTTTCTCTTCTCTAAATCAGAGAGAGAGAGAGAGAGAGAGATGGGAAAAATTTCATTCACTATTGAATCAGGATTTTTTCTATTCCGAAAGAGAAAATAAACAGATGAGATAAGCAGCCCTGAGGAGAAAGAGAAAAGTTTAAAAATAAACAAAATATTTCTCACAGACTCGGTTACCCAAATAGTTAAATGGACCTCTACCCCTACACAGGACAAACACAAAGAGAAAAGTGAACGATATGCAAAGCTACACACAGAGCAGCAAACCTTTCAAGCTTCTAACAGAGAGAAGACAAAGAGGAAAAACACAAAGCCTGAGGTTCTCTACCAAGTGAGGGGAGTGACATTCTATTTTGCAATGTAGGAGGGAACCTCCTACATTGAATAAAATGGACAGGCTTAAGAATAAGAATAAAAGAATAAAACGGACAGGCTTAGTAAATGGAACAGAAAATACTGAAAGACTACACAGCATTGAGGAAGCTGTATGTGGAAGTGCACACACATCAGAAAGCCCTGGGCACAACAGGCAGCACAGTCTCTCTCTATTCCAGGTTTGCTTAGGTTTGGGTGGGGAAAACACAAAATTAAAATAGCAGGCAAGGCAACAGAAGACATCAAGCACCCTAATAAACTAGAATCTCTATGCGCAAAAAAGCAAACAGAAAATACCTAGGGATATCCTTATCAAGAAAGAGCCTGAAAAAACATAGGAAAGCTTTTGTTAGTGCAGCAAAAGAAAAAAAAAAAAGGGAGGGGGGGAGGAAGGGGGGAAAAAAGGAGAGAAAAGCAAAAGAAAGAAAATAAATATATAAAAAAATAAAAAAGACAAATTTGCTGTTTAGCAAAGTGAATTCAAGTGGACAATTAACAGAGAACTCCGTGGGACACAATTTAGAGAGGGGTTATAATGATACTAGGGGCCCGATGCACGAAATTCGTGCCCTCAGGGTGGGTACTCCATCAGTCTGGCCTACGCCCTCTCACAGTCCGGGAGCCCTAGGGGATGTGCGACTACTGCAGAGGGGGGAAGGTGTGCCAGCCATGAGCTCGGCTTATAGCTGAGTGGCACTCCCCCTGTGGAAGCACACTGACCACCAGGGGCAGCTCCTGCATTGAGCATCTGGCCCCTGGTGGTCAGTTCGCATCATAGCGACCGGTCATTCCCGTTTGGTCGATTTGCATATTAGCCTTTTATTATATAGAATGGGTCCCTCTCCCAAGCATTCCATTGCAGAAAATGCTGGGCAGTGGAGGGAATGTGGAGACTACCTCCATTAACACCCCTCTCGGAGGTGACTGAGTATAGGAATGGTAGGAGTTACTGTGGGAAACAAGTCAATTATGTAATATAAATGTAGGACTTGGAAGGAAATGAGCTATGGTCTTTGTGAGTCACACTCCACTACCAATGTATCAGAAGAGCCCTCAAACGTGCACACATGATACACCCAAATTGGAGTTTTGTAAGTTCAACTGTAAACATGAAATAGAAGCTCTTAACCAAACTCCATTTAGTAACTTACCGCATGACTTACATTCTCCATGTCCCTAAAGTATAAAGACTGATGCCCATTTCTCATTGACCATTTGAAACTAGAGATATCTCTCATCTCTCCAGACCACCTGCTCCAGAGAGGTGAGCTGCAAGCTTATCAAGTGTCAGTAATATCTGGTCCCAAACCTATTTTTGTAGCTGCATTAATGTAAAAATATAATTTAATCAATTGATAGGCAAATCAATGAGACATTAGGACAAAGAGAATTTCTGTTTATTGTAAGTCAAAATTAAGTGTAAAAACTCAGTGGACTGTTTTGATAATGGTAAGTTGTAAAATTAAGTGTGGATGAGATCAATGTGAAAGAAACGGGAAATTATACAATTTTAATGATAAATGATAAAAAGTTTAAAAGATATGGCTCTTATATTTTCTTTATAGGTTTCTACTTCTTGCTCCACCAAAGTAAAAGTCACAGATGATGAATTATGGATATGGTTTTACAAGAAAGACAACCAGAGATCCAATAAATGATCCTACAACAAATGAAAAGGCTTTTGGCTTTATAGTAAGCGCTTGACAAATCAATGTACATTTATGTGTTTAAATTAAAACAAAAATGTTTAAAGTGTGTATCTTTCATTATTTTTGACTTCAGTCAACTTTTTAAGCTTTTATTGTGAAAGGTAAGCTGCTTCGGACAAAACCAAATCCGTCTCCTCCAGCATCTGACTTGCTGCTGGGCCCTGTCTTCCCCACAGCCCCTGCCAGCGACTCTCACAGGCAATAGCAGAGGCTGGCTTCCCTTTTCTCCCTACTATGCAAACTGCAGCTCAAGGAAACAACGGGAAATTAATTCTGGCCCAAACTTTTAATCCCGCTTTTTCCTACTGTCTTATTTTCCTTCTCCCTCTTCTAACATAGCTGTGAGCTAGTTTTCTAGGAACACACAAACACAGAGAAATCCTCTGCTTATTTGTGGGGAGCAGGGTGGGTAGGGGATGAAATAAGGATTTTGAAGTGAGAAGAGAATTAGTTTCTTCCGCTAAATAGAGGTCACTAACGAATGAAGAATCTAATGGTGTACCAATCAGTCCCCGGGTGACTCAGCACCCTCCGTAGGCGCCCACCTGCTGGAGTTGAGGGAAGACTTCAGGTACTTGGCAGAGATGATATTTAGGGAGAGGATGGCATCAATCGCAGCTTCATCCACCTCAGCCTTATTCCTAATCCGCCCTAAAAGAAATAAAGACACAAGAGCATGGGTATATTTGAAAAAGAAAGCATCACTCTGTTCTATGTAATAATATTCCACAGAAAAATTAATTCTGAAAAAGCTTAACAACTACTGTTCCTGATAAGAGTATAATCTTCCTTCCAAGGTTCTTAATCTCATCCACAGACACCAAAGGGGAGGGCCTATGAATAGAATTCAAAATATCCATGAACTTCACCAGGGAAAAAAATGACAATTTTATTTTCATGAACCTCTAACTGAAATTTGGGATTTTCTTCCATTATGAAGGGAGGGTACAAACCACAGAGGAATCAGCAGTACTATGAATTTATCCTCAGCAGAGATCACAGATGTTTTCATATCACACTAATGTAAAATATCTAGATATTCATCACTACTTTGAAATAGAAATTCAACCTGCTGCTTATTTAATGTATCAGTAAAGAAGAGCTTAAGTTACACATTTTTTTTTTAATAGTTTAACAACTGTATTTCAATATTATCTAGTTCCCCTTGTAATCCCAAGTACTTTCTACATTTAAAAACCTAATTCTGAGGCTTCAATACTGCCAATGGGTTTAAGGCAATAGAAGCTCAGAACCCCTGCCATACATTCTAAAATTCATACTATTTGGCGAGTTTTCCCCTCTCACTACACCTTAGTTCGGTTTCTCTCCTCTGCCTATGGGGTGCTGGCCATGTGCATATTACCCAGATTCCAGACTACCGTACTTAAAATGTTTCCTTGTGTGGAAAACAGAACAAAGCCCCTCTAATCGCCTGGAACCTAGTCTATCCCTCTCTCACAAAGCTAACCCAACCCTCTTGGATCCTTGTGTTGTGAGCTCTCTTATCACTGTCTGTCCTCATTTTGGCATTTATTTACTGAACTGCTTTGTACATTTATATGTTGTCTCTTCAAGAGAAGGGCAAGCTCACAATGAGCAGAGACTTCCGGCACAGAACCATTCCATGGTACCCGAGTAAAACAATGGTTAATCACGAATCCCTGACGGTGGAGCTGAGAGAAAGAGTAACTTCAGGGTCAAGGTATCTGCATTCTCCGTGGGCCACACGCTGAGGCCAGCCTCCCACTCAGTCCCTGTGCGCCACCAGGAACAATGGGGTCTCCACAAAGCCTGGCTCCGGCCCCAGCCAATGGAGCGTACTCACCTACCACCAGCTCACGAACATCTTTCCAGTGGAGCTCGCTTCCCTTCTCATGGACGATGGTCATTGTGATCCTTCGCTGGATGCCCTAGGGAATGGAGCAGGACTGTGATTTAGCTGGGACAAACTATTATTTCCTGTTTCTGGAATGTTTGGTGTGACAGAGGGCAGGAAGGAGAGGTATGGAGAAAGAATGGAAATGCTACCAACATAGTTATTCTAAACAATGGGACACAGGTCAGGGACCCAGAAAGAGCCAGGTTCTGATATGGCTTTAAGAATAGATGCTTAGCCGAAACCGGTTTGGCTCAATGGATAGAGCGTCGGCTTGGGAACTGAAGGGTCCCGGGTTTGATTCTGGTCAAGGGCATGCGGGCACATCCCCGGTGGGGGGTGTGCAAGAGGCAGCTGGTCGATGTTTCTCTCTCATAGACGTTTCTGGTTCTCCATCTCTCTCCCTTCCTCTCTGTAAAATACCAATAAAATATATTAAAAAACAAAACAAAACTTTTTGCTGTGGAAGCAGTTTCCAAACATCATGAAATAAAATTTGTATAAAATGACATTGATGTTGCATGAATTATAATAATTCAATGAAGCAAAATCTTTTACCAATATAGCTCTTCTATTATTTATTTGAGGCCCAGTGCACAAAATTGTGCATGGGTGGGGTCCAGCTGGCAGGCCCAATGGGGCCAATTGGGCTGGGTCACCAGCTGGCAGGCCCAATGGGACCAATTGGGCTGGGGGAGGGGATGCGGGAGGTTAACTGGCCAGCCAGCCCCCGATAGGTGGGGAGAGGCTGACTGGGGACAGGGCTGGCCAGGGGAGGGGCCGCAGGCAGTTGGTGAGCCAACCCCACTCTCTGGTTGAACTCCCCAGTAGAACTCCCCATCAAGGGGACAATTTGCGTATTAACTTTTTATTATATAGGATTTTTTAAAATGTATTTTTATTTTTATTGATTTCAGAGAGAAGGGGAGAGGGAGAGAGAGTGCAACATCAGTGATGAGAGAGAACCACTGATTGGCTTCATCCTGCACACCCGCAACGCAGGCATGAGTCCTTGACCAGAATTGAACCCAGCACCTTTCAGTACGCAGGCCGACACTCTATCCATGAGTCAAACCGGCTAGGGTTGTATAATATCTTTATATGTAAAAGCTTATACATACATACATACATATATATATATATATATATATATATATATATATATGCCAAAGTCTGAGGAAGAAATTAAAAACAAGCATATAAATAAGAAAAATAAGAAAAAACAGGACAATGTCCCACCACCTCCACATCCCTTAGAAATGGAGAGGAAAAGCAGAAAATCAGAGTTATGGTTCTTATTCTAAACTTTGTGTGTGTGTGTATGTGTGTGTGTGTGTGTGTATGTGTGTTTCCTCCTAGATCTCCTTTGCCCCCTCATTAGTACCTGGTGAAGCAGGAATGTCCCCTGGCAGGGCAAGCCTGCTGTGTGGTCCACCACAGCTGGGATATACCTGTAACAACAGAAACGCACGGCAAAGAGTGAGACAGACGCTCAAGCTGACAAGTGCTACTTCACCACAGGTCTTCCCTGGCTGCTGTCCCCCGCTGGTCTTTGCTTTACTGAACTCTGATCCATGTTTTCTCACCATTCAGGCATTTAATCGCACGGTCATTCACATCCAATAAATGTTTCCACATGTCTACATCTTTTTATCCTTACTAGACTTAAGTGCTCACAGGATAGTAATGTTTTTTTGGCTCCATCCTAGCCCCTTGCATAACAGATATTCCATAAATAATGTATGGATTGACAGCTGCAGACCTCACACATAGTGGGAACTCAGTAACTGTTTCATGGAGATGAACATGATGGTGGTGGTGTTCAGCATTATACACAGAGGGTCATCAGGAGAGCATTCATCCCCAACCCTCTACATTAATAACACAGCCCCTTGCCTCTATTTCAGGAGGGGGATCTTTTTGGTGTGTTTTTCCAAAAGCATTTTAGAGGAAACGATAACTGGTACATTTACCACTTGCTCTAACAGCTCATACAGAGAAAGTAGGCTGATGCCCATCATTCTGATCTAGGACAATGGTCCTCAACTGGAGGTGGTTTTGGTCCCCTGGGGACGTTTGGCAATGTGCTACTGGCATTTAGTGGTTAGAAGCCAGGGTTGTGGCTAAATATCCTACAACACACAGGGCAGCCCCTGACATCGGAGAATTAACTGGCTCAAATAGTGCCGCGGTTGAAAAATTCTGGTCTAGGGAAACACCACCCTCAACCCCCTCGCTGAGATTATTAATGCAAGTCTTGACCATATCAGCAAAATGCTTCTCTCTTTGCTGCTGAAAAAACTCACTATGTAGGCTGTCTTCCCTCCTAACAAAGTGCCAGGCACTATGATCTTGCTGTTGCTAATAAGAAGGTAAGTTATTACACTAAGTAGTCAGTTCTCTGACAAACATTCGATTCAAAGGATAATAGCAAGACTACCAACATTCAATTCGAAACTGGAATTTGAAAATGATGATTCATGAACAACAATAGAGACTCAAAATTACATTTTCTCATTTTGAAAAACTTGACCTTATTTAAAGTTTAGGAAATTGGACTTACTCTCCTGTAGGCTCCAGTTCGCTGATCTCAAACCAAACCAGGAGATCATACTTGCTCATGCTCTGGCCAAGGCTGGTTTTGCTCATGGTGTTTAACTTGGTGGCTGGAACTTTTAAAAAAGTTTTAGAAACAGTCAAAATCTGATCCAAGTCTACTTAGTAAAGTATAAGCTTCTCTAATGTCAGGCTTCAAGGACACACTTGGGAAAGGCAACAAGAGTCGGGATAGATTTCAATGTGGAAGACCCAGAGAAACGCCAACATCAACTATGTCAGGACCTCTAAATTCAGAGGACAAGGAAGGAAGAGTCAGCATCTTTCTCCCTCTCAAATTATCCAACGATAAGAAAACAAGTTTCGCCGAAACAGGTTTGGCTCAGTGGTAGAGCGTCGGTCTGCGGACTGAAAGGTCCCGAGTTCGATCCCGGTCAAGGGCATGTATGTTGGTTGTGGGCACATCCCCGGAAGGGGGTGTGCAAGAAGCAGCCGGTCGATGTTTCTCTCTCATCGACGATTCTAGCTATCTCTCTCCCTTCCTCTCTGTAAAAAATCAATAAAATATATTAAAAAAAAAAAAAAAAAAAAGAAGAAGAAAAAAAAAAAAAAAGAAAAGTTTCGCCCTGGCTGGTCGCTCATTGGTTAGAACACTGGCCCTTGGACTGAAAGGTCAAGGGTTCAATTCTCCATCAAGGGCATGTACCTTGGCTGCAGGTTTAATCCCTGCCCCAGTAGGGGCATGAGCAGGAGGCAACCAATTGATGGTTCTCTCTCACCAAGACGCTTGCGCTTTGTGGCAGGCAGAGCAGCAGCATCACGGGAGACAGAGCCATCCTCCAATGCAGTAGCTCCTGAACCTCCCTGTCCATGAGAGTCACCCGGGTTCCCAAAGATGCAGAGCCTAGGCCCCCCAGGCCAATGAAACCACTATCTCTCGGGGCGGGACCCGGTCCCCTGAGAAAGTTGAAACTCCCCAGGTGATTACAATGTGCAGACAAGTTTGGGAAGCACTGGTCTGATCTCTAAACACAGGATTCTGTAACTCTCTTGTTACACATTTTCTTCAGATTTAAATTTCATACTCTTAATTATACTGATGAAATACATTAACCAAAACCCAGTATTTCCAAGAATTTTAGATTCTTCATAATGGGCATTTTGAGACACTGTGTAGAAACTCTAAACTCTGGCCATACAAAGAGGGGTCCTCACCTCAGAACATGGGAGCACTGGAGTGAGAGTCCAGTGACTGGGGATCGAATCATTGCCCAACCACTAAAGAGCCATGTGCTGTGGCTGAGTCACTTAATCTCTGTGAGTCTGTCCCCTCATCTATAAAATGTAGATCAAAATATTCCGCCTGCTATCTCAGAAAGGCATTATGAGGATTCACGACAATGGATCAGAAGGGGCTTTCTGAGTAGCACAGCGCTACTCAGGTAGCCTGTTGGCACTGTCCACCCCGTTGACTGAGTTGGTGACGCGAGTAAAGAGGAAAATAGGGCTAAAGCTTCTGACAGTCATCCAAGGGTCCGGAAGCAAAATCAGAAGCATTAAAAATCCAACCCAAAAACATGTACTAGTAAAAATCTTTACAAATACTCTTATTGCAAAGACACCAAACAAACAAATACAAGGAGCCCTCACCCCCAGGGTGAAGTGAAAAAGGCACAAGTAGACAGGGTGCTTCCTGAAATCTCTCGTCAGTCAGTTCAAGTAGCAGAGATCAGTGTTTCACACAGAAAGCCAGGCTCTAGGACAAGCCCCTGAGCTATTACATCTAGGAGCTAATTTACCTACTAACCATCTCGTTTAGGTACCCTCTCGCTCTGGCAGCTGGGAACTGGCAGAAAGAGAAAAGGCGGCAGGGGGTCCGCCCCATCCTGGAAGGTGGCAGCAGCAGAGGATGCAAGCACACTGGCGTGCTCAGAAAATGTGTCCAACGCATGCACATTCACATAGCCAGACACGAGAAATCGAATCAGCTCGACCTTTCTCTCATGATCTGAAGGCAGGATGGAGATGAGGAGGATGGGAGGAGAATGAGCACGGGGAGGGGTGGGAATGTGGGCAATGAGGAAAAAGAATGAAAATAAACAAAGAAAAGTGAAAACATGATAAGTGAACATGCAGGGATAAATTTAGTATGCAAAATGCCCAGGCCCAACAGTTACGGGGAGTTACGTACAAAGCGGAGAGATTTGGGAACAGGGAGCTTATGAAAATTGACAATAAGACCAGAGAACTGGCAGGAATAGAGTCCTATTGTTCCTCACTGCTCATTTTAAGCCAGGAGCCAAGAATTCCAGTTCTGGCTAGAGACAAGAATATGTAAGGATACACAGAAAAGGAGCAGGAATTTGAATCTGATCTTTGTCGGAGCAGTCATTCAGAGTCAGGGATGTGTTCACACACAGAACATCAGGCGAAGCATGCAGCTAGAGCTCACCTGGCTTGGAGAGCGGCATCGGCGGAGGGAAGAACCGTCGAGATGGCTGAGGAGGACTGTGAAGGAAGGAAGACACATTCTTAAGGTGAAGAGTCCCCTGCGGCTATAACGGCATCTTTCAGGGCCCTCTAGACACAGACGGCTTGTACTTTCAGCTCCAGCATGGTAGCAGATACCACACATGACTCCACAGTGTATAACGGAGGCTAAGACATTTTAATAAAAGTCCCCTTCTAAGTCTTAGCTAATGAAGCAGGCTATACCACTCATACTCTGCCATCATCCTAGAGTCCCCATTTAGAACTTTTTGCTTCATAGAGTTCTGGGCCTTTAGGGACAGTTATACACAATTTCATGGTATAGCCTGTCACTCCAACTTTCAGTCCTATTCAAATCTCTCCCTACGAAAAGATGGTACTCAAGACCACCTGGGCAAAATTCAATGTGCTCTGCCTACAGCTAGTGATTAGGTGGGTAGGAAAAAAGGTGGTGAAGTTTCTAAAAGAGAAAACATCAAGTAACATAAAACTGTTATTTAGTTATCTTAAACCCTCAAAAGATTTCCTCCTTTCCAGCAAGTGATAACAACGATGATAATAATATCAACAGAAATATGTGCTCATCTGGCCCAAACCTGTTCAGATCCTGTCCTTGCAGGTGAAGTGGGTGCTGCTGATAATGCCCGAAGACTTCAAATACTATCGGCTTGGTTTTGATGTACTCCACAAACGACTCAGTGACCTCCACTGCAATCTAGTAAGGAAGAAAGCCAAACCAGGTTAGGGAAAGATTTATTATAAGACGAGACATTCTGGCTGCAATCGGAACTTGAGCACTTTAGAGCTGGGTATGTGCTGGGTATCTCACTCTGCACGCCTCCCACAAGAGAAGCTGGGCCTCCTCTCTGGTTTTCATTCTGGAGTAACTGTACTGAGCTGCAGGCATGTGAGACCCTCCGCCATCTGCCTGAACCATCTCTGCCCCCGGCTGTTCTCCATACACTTGTTTCCACTTAATCCAACTCAACCGCTCTCTCCTGTTTCGCCCTTAGATGGCCCCGGCTGCAGCCCTGCCTGGAGGCCTCCCACACCTCCATGCCGCTAAGTCATTCCTAGACTTCGAGGCTCAACCCAAACAGTGTCAACAGTAAGGAAACAGGGCTGTTCCCCATATGCCAGGTATAATGCCAAGTCTGACCCACCTTTCCTTATTTATACTCCATTCTCCAGAAGTGCCCTCACCTCCTTTCCACACCCAAACATCCACACCCAACAAAAAAAGTAACACAAAGTATCTCTCCGTTCATGGAAATAACTTTGCCTTCTCTGGACTCCACTGCATTTAGTAAGTGCCTTTCTGATGTCTCTAGATCGTGTTACTTAAATAAGCATCTATTTCCCTATCGGAATTGTGAGCTCTTCAGGAACGGCTCATCTGTGATTCTCCTGTGCATTTCCCAGAGTGCCAGGCACAGTCCTGTGAGCAGCAGCCAATGTTTACTGGATACATGCATGCTCATGTTTCTACAGCTAAACAAAAAAAGAAAAGTGTTTTGTGTTTGCTTGTTCCACTTCTGGAGCTGTTGTTTCCCTTCGTACTTTAGAAAGTAGGTATGCCAACAAGAGAATGAGAGGCTGTCTCGTGTAGTAGTGAAGACCCTGGAGCCAGAGCAACGTTTCTGCGTTCAAACCCCATCTCCACCTCTCCCTAGCTCTGTAGCCTAGGTGAGTGGCTTTAACTGCTCTGCGCCTCAGTTATCACAGCTCTAACACGGGGATTATGACCATTTATGGCAGAAAGGTGAGGATTAGGTGAATTAAGACATGAAAAAGCACTCTCAACAGAGACTGACACAAAATAAGCTCTCAAGGAATGCTGGCTATAGTGAAGAGGATGATGCCTTGTGAACAGTTATAGTGAATCTTCCTAGAGGAGATGGAAGGTCTATTCTCTCTGTCTCTCTGTATTTTAATTGCTCATTTTATTTTTAATTTTTAAAAATCTAATAAATCTTTATTATTCAGATTATTACAATTGTTCCTCTTTTCCCCCACATAGCTCCTCTCTACCCGGTTCCCACCCCACACTCTGCCCTTACCCCCCACTCCCAGTGTCCTCATCCACAGGTGTATGATTTTTGTCCAGTGAAGATCTATTCTCTTACTCCACATATGAAAGAGCTGTAAGGGGCATTAATGGATCATCACAGTATCAATTGCAAGGAATACAATCTGAATCTTAGTTACAAAGGTATTGAATAGTTTTTATCTTATTTGCAACTGAACAATGTTAAGTATCTTACAGTTTAAGGACAATAAATATATTAGCTTTAACAAAACTCATACTAAAATGTTTACTTTTCGCCGAGACCGGTTTGGCTCAATGGAAAGAGCGTCGGCTTGGGGACTGAAGGGACCCGGGTTCGATTCCGGTCAAGGGCATGTACCTTGGTTGCGGGCATGTCCCCAGTAGGGGGTGTGCAAGAGGCAGCTGATCGATGACTCTCTCTCATCGATGTTTCTAACTCTCTATCTCTCTCACTTCCTCTCTGTACAAAATCAATAAAATATATTAAAAATAAAATAAAATAAAATAAAATGTTTACTTTTCTATGAAGGAAACACGAAAAACTACATTCCCAGTGATGGAAGGTTTTATTGGCAGATGAACCTGGGCAGGACTCCCGGCCCTCGGTAACTCACAGGCCAGCTGCTCCGTCCTGGAGGAGGGCTCACAGCTCTGGCCACTCCTTCCACTGTCTATTCTCCCAGATTCCCTCACACAGCCGCACAGCCGCTCTGAGAAAGCCCAAGGGAGCCCACACATGCCTGCCTCACACCAGCCACTTCAAGGTACCACACACCCGCAATACATCTGGCAAAAAGTCACGTCACTTACATTCTGCACATGGTAGAAGCCCAGAGGACTTCCTCTGCCGTTGTTTTTGAGGGGTTCAGTGGAGAATGCTTCATCATGGCGATGCAAAAAGCTTAATGGAAAGATAAGAGGAGAATGTTTCATTAGTGGTTTCATCAGGATCTATGTGGTAACGGCTGCACTTGGATGGTATGGGAACCGCCTACTTAAGCAGAGTTTAAATTGAGCGAGTTATTTACATATCCTTGTCAGACTTTTTCCATATCACTCAGATAATATTTTACACTTTATTTCAAAAATGATTAAAAATTATCTGACCCTAATCACGTAGCTATGTGGATGCATATGCAAGAATGCATTAGAGAGCAGGGAGAGTGAATTCAGTGAACTCCTGTTCCTTTGTGGTTTTTCACTGAGAATAAAAATTATGAAGTTGTTTTGTGTAAAGATTTGGCAGGTTGAAGCTTCTACATGGTAATACTACAGCCTGTGGAGGGTACTAGCCTAGGAGACTCTCTCAGACCAGCTATGAGTAGATACAAATGCCACCTCTTGCAAAGAGTCTGTCCTGACTCATGCAAATAGTTCTGTGTCCCTACAGCACTAGAAATGTATGTTCTCAATAGTGATGATTTCACTGTTTGTAATAATGTATTGATATGCCTGTCTGCCCAAAAGACAGTGAGTGTCTCCCGCAGGGCTTGAGATATATAAGATACTCCTGAAATATCTGTTGAATCAGCAGGCTATGTTTATTTGTTCTCACAAATAGTGAGGTTTTATTTTTCTCTCTCCCTCCCTATTATAAGTCTGAAATAAAAATAGAAGAACTAAAGCATCCTCAATACAAGGATTTAGTGCGGGACAAAAATATGCATCAAAAGGATGCATATTTCACATTGTCATAGCCCAGTGGTTGGCAAACTGCGGCTCGCAAGCCACGTGCGGCTCGCAAGCCACAATTTGCCACTCTGTTGACTAATGAGTTTGCTGACCCCTGGGATAGGGGCTTAATCACAAGGAACAACAGCCTGTAATTAATGGAATCAAGAGTCGGTTTGGTTCAGAGGATAGAGTGTGACCCATGGACTGAAGGATTTAAGGCTTAATTCCTCAGTGGCAGGCTTGATCCCCAGCTTTGGTGGGGGCTCATGTGGGAGGCAACCAGTCAAGGTGTCTCTCTCACATCGATGTTTCTCTCTCTGTCTCGTGTCCTCCCTTCCATTCTCTCTAAAAATCAATGGAAAAATATCCTCGAATGAGGATTAGAGAAAAAAGAATATCTCACACTCTCCCAAGAGAAAAGGGAAAAGGAATGCTGTGAATAGGGGGTAGAGAGAGGAGGACAAGGAACTCCTTGCTTCCCACATTAGTTCACTGAGCCTGAGGACTATGCATGGTACCTACCAGAGGTGCGTGACCTCTGATCTGTACTCATCCGATGCTCTGCTTGGAGCAGGTGCAACCATCCTGGGGCTCCCCATGAGCAACAGGTGAAGCCTACAGCTGTGTCTTCCCTATGCAGCCAAGTGAGAGTTCATAAAAACTCAAAAAAGGATCTGCGTCTTCTCTCAACGTGAGTTAATCTGCCCTTTCCCCCAGAGCTAACGCCAGGTGCACATGCTGCTCTTGCTAGTAGGTTTTAGGACAAAAGTCAACATACCACTGTCATTTCAGACATCCGTTAACCAAGTAGGTTTTTTCCATAAAATACATCAGTTGCCTAATTAGTATAGTGAAAGTTCAAAAGAATTGATTCACGTAGGCAACTCCATCCCACTCCAAATTTGTGGCTGTTAGTGAAAATATTTATGTTAAGTGGGCAAAACCAATACTAGATGGATAATATTTTAAAGATTATTGGAGGCTTACTATGTAGTAGCCACATTTAATCCAGGACTTGGCTAAATGCTATGTAAAAGCAATGCTTTGTAACTGCATCAGGGACCCTGGGAAGGCCACAGAATGCGGGATGGCAGGCTCTGAGGTGGCCTTTTGGTGGCACCTGGGCTTCATTCTCGAGTGGCCCTTCCACATACCACAAAGATACATTGATGCTTGGCGGTATTAAAACTTAAGATTTAAAAAAAAAAAAAGTGTTTTCCTAGGGAGGTTGTGAGAAGAAAGCACTTAGAATATAGACTCAAGAGGGTTAAGGAGAGAAAAAGCTTGTAAGTGGAAGAGAAATGAAAGCTGTCACATTATCTCTACATACTATCTTCTTTTTCAATTGATGTAAAATATTACTGTTCATTATGTTACTTAAATTTTCTTTCCCCCAAATATTAAATAGGCATAATTGGTGACTAAATTATTCTTTGCTTTAAGGGAGGAGGAATGGGGACAGAGAAAGGGAGGGACAAAGGCAGAAAGAGAGAAACATTGATGTGAGAGAGACACATTTATTGGTTGCCTTCCACATGCATCCAGACCATGGGCAGTGATCAAACCTGCAATCCAGATATGTGCCCTTGACCAAGAATAGAACCTGTGACTCTCTGGTCCACAGTTCAACGCTGTAACCCCCGAGCAATGCGGGTCAGGGTGAGATTTGTTTAATAATACATTTCAGCATGAAGAGCATTAAAAAGACTAATAAATAGGTGTGTCTGGATCAGACCCTATGTTCCTAGCAGAGAGCGATGGCCCACAATAGAATCTTTTAGCGGGAGGCATGGCCACATCCCTTCCCACAATGAACTCTGTTTCATTCCATTGTAGGTTCCTGGTTCTTACTCCCATCTTGTGGGAAGAAAGCATTTTATTTCAGAGACCGGTAGTTGTCATTTCTCAGGAGTGTCAGAGTCTCACAAACGTAAAACAGTCTACAGAGCACAAAGGACGGCATCGGGCGGACAGCGGAGTAGGCAGAGCGAAGGGACGGCTTACTTGAACTGACAGAAGATGTCTGCGTACTCCGGGAGGATCCCGCTGGCCTGCAACACGGTCACACGGAAAGTGAAGGCACTGCCCAGTTTCAGGTGGTTGCCAATCTCTTCAGAAAACCCTTCCATGACCATCTTCCCATCCAGCAAAGTGCTCGACTTCAAATCTAAAGAGGGTCAAACACACACATACCTGGCTCAAATAATGCACAGACCACCCTTCAATGAGGAGAGCGCAGGACATTCTTTCCATTCCTAGTGAATGACAGTGACTATCTCATTGGTCAATGCAACTGTCAATATGTTTCCCTCTTTGAAAATGTCCCCAATCACAGTAAACTGTGTCTACATACCCAAGTCATTCATTCGATTGATTTCTTCTGGAGGACTGATGACCTCAGAACTCTGACCCTGTCCTTCCACAATCCTTAGCTCTTCCAAGGACAGGCCAGAACGAGTCATTGCAACGGAAGAAAAGTCACTCTGAAATCAAGGCAGGGGGGTTAGATGAAGTACTGCCGTAATACATTTCCCCCCGTTTCATTTCTTTTGTTTATTTGCCTAATGACTAATAGTGACTGTAAAATTATGTGGATTAGAGCTGCCTTTAAAAAGGCAATATAAATATTGGGCCTTTACCCTTACCGTTGTAATTTTTACACATGTCCCATATCCTATCAAACACCCTGTGGTTACCTATACTTTTTAGTTGTAGGTAAAAGAATTGCTCTTTTCTCGTGCTGAATATCCTTTTTATAAACCTGACTACTTCTCCTTCCATTAGATTTTCCTCTTCCGGAAAGGTTTCTCACCTGATTAAAATACTCGTTATCAAAAGATATTTTAGCAGTTCCTGACTGTCGAATTCCAGAGCCATAATCAGGAGCTTCTTCATCCGCTAGGTAGGGAAAAATAAAAAGAAAGAGAAAAGCAAAAACTACATATAAGGCAGAGAGGGATGACTTTTACTGGATTATAAAATAAATAATGAAGTAGTGGAGCCTTAGGTTCTGAGAACTTTGATATAAGAGGAGATGCCAAAGGACATGTCCTTTTGCTTAAGAAGGAGAAAATGAGACCTAAGCAGTAAAGTCACAAGGGCTGCTTCCAACTCTACTCAGGTAACCTTACCGATCCCCTTAGCTCAAATGAGCAAAAAATCAGCTTTATTCTTGGTATTGTTTACTGCCATATCTAAAATACTGATCTCTTCACTTGGCAAGGTTATATTCAATAATACTCAATACATATTTCAAAATACTAGACTGTACTTGTCAAGACTTCAACAATAGTGAATATGTCACAGATTTCCATGGGTAAAGGAGAAAGGTCACAGCATAGCATTTAGAAATTAAATCAGAAAAATTACAAGAAATGGCCACATTCTTCCTCAGAAGGAAGCTGGATCATGGAGAAGCATCAGATTTTTAATCCATGTCTCTCTATATATAAAAGCTTAAGCGATCAGTTGACTGGCCAACCACAAGGGGGCAGATGCTCAACATAGAAGTTGTTGAGTTTTGGTAACTTGGCAGCTGCGGTTCTTGAGTGATGCACCCAGAACCAGAGAGGAGGGAGCCAGATTTTGGGGTGCGTCACCCAAGAGCTATCCTCTCGTTTTGGGACCCCTTTGAGGGATGTTGGAGGTGGTTTTGGCCCAATCCCTGCAGGCCAGGCCAAGGGACCCCACCAGTGCACGAATCCATGCACTGGGCCTCTAGTTACAAATAATAGCCAAAGGACAGAAAGGCCTAGAAGTACCCTTAGAGAAAATTAGGCAAAAAAAAAAAAAAAAAAAAAGTACTGAAAGTCCTTAGTTACTTCTGGGGCAGTTAATACACATTATTTAAATGCAAATGACTTTAATCAAGTTAATCCAAGAGTTGTCTTTCATGTTAAAGAAAACCCCTTTATCCCATTATTCCAAAATAGCAGTAGCTCAGACTAAATAGAATCTATTTTTGATACTTAGTAACAACAGTTGGAAAGGAAGCAATAAAGGCTTTCTCCAAGACAAACAAAACCGCACTGCAGTCTGTATGTGCAGCTGCAGCGTGACCCTGCAGAACGGCCCTGCTCCGTTTCCAAGCACAGAGTCCACAGCTCCGTTTCAGAAGAGGGGCACCTACCTGCAATGGCCTGGACCGCCACCCGCAGAAATCCCCGCACTTCACCCTTCTCGCTGACAACAGCCACCCTGTGGATCAGGGGCACGGGATACAGCAGATTGCTCAGGTATACAAATGCCCTAGAGAATGAAACCGGAGACACATCTGAGCATCCCACCAAGAGAGAAGCTGGCTGTCAGATTTATTGAAAATACCTTTGTGAAACTGAGCTGGCTTTTAGGCTCTGTCTGAAGGATACCTCTCTCTGCTCTGTATTCTCAGGCTACCTCTAATTCTTTCTTAGCACAGATAATACCTAAACCAATGCAAATGCTTGCTAACAGCTGACAGAGACCAATTTACACCAAATTAGTCACGCCCTATAAAAATCACTACTGTAGGTAGAAGAGTAACAATTGGAAGCAGACTTTTAAGATACTGGTCTATCAATAGTGCTAAGGGTGGGGACAAGGGAGCCCAGTAAAGAGCTTAGCCTTTTAATGTAAGGAATTATAAAGAGGTTTGTTTTGTTTTTCCTGATAAAGCAGAAACCAGGAGACGAAAAAGGCAGAAGAATGTGACTGAAATACAGTTAATAGGTCTAAAATAGATTTCAAGTCACAGTGTTATGGGTCTTTATCTTTACTCTAAGAAATGACTATTATCTTTAGGCAGGGTTACAACACATATGGGTGGAAAGGCTATGTAGCCAGAAGTTTTTGAGTAGCCAGCTTAAGAAAATCTGGATGGGAATCAAGATAAATGGCCAGATGGAAGGCAGCTAAAGGCTGCTTTTTTACTCCTAGGTCCAAAACCTAATTCAGAAATGCATATACAAAAGGTAAGTTACAGACCTAACGTTTTCTATTTCAAAGAAACTGGCAAAGTCCGATTTGTATTCTTTTTCCTTTTTTCATCATTTTGTATCTACTGATTTTATTTTTATGTACTAAAAACTGGTGACCACAAAACTTGAGAGTGTTTATTTCCATTAGTGAATAGAAAATAGCATCTAGTTCCTACTGTTACTCCTGTCTTCCCACTTGGTACATGCTGATCTTTGAACGTAGACAAGACAAAGAGTAAACATTTGCATCAAGAAATGAAACAACTAAACGTGACACATATGTCTGCTTGCTTTTATTTCTGCTCTGAAAATCTAAAATCTACTTTAAAACAAAGAGAAAAAGAAGATGAGAGTATTTGTGGGATTTCAACTCAAAGTAATGAAAACAATTCTGAAAATAGAAAAAATACAACACAGAAAAACAAATGTTAAAACTTTAAGAGCATAAATGAAATATGAATGAAAAGTATAACAAAATAACAGCAAGTGAACATTAAACCAGATCTAATGATGTCTACTTCCCTTTCAGTCTGCTCCAAAGGTGGGGGAGGGCAAAGCTAAGAAAGAGGGTTAAAGCTTTGTTGCACAAAAACTTAAAAACTGAAGTCCTCTTAAAAAATTACAAACAAGACTCTCAAACATCAACTATGTGACAGAAATTAAAGACTAAGAATTTGGAATAAGGAACCATATAGATAGCTTCACTTCCAAGTCAGTATACGTACAGGATGATACCCATCATCTCTTAATGGCATTCCTGCCAGGCGTGCCCACTCTCAAAGCCTTGGCCATAAAGGGCCATAGCATGTTCATCTCCTGCCTGGAGTCCTCTCTGAACTCCACTACCAACCTCATGCCTTTAATTCCACATCTGAGGTCTGATCTCAAATACCAGTCTCTCATGATAGATTCCCCCAATGTTGTATGATCTCAGTAACACATGATTCCACCATTGCTTAGGATTTACATTTCTTTATGTAATGTGATTATTTAACTTGTCTGTCTCATCCACCAGACTGTAGGAACCATGTCTGGTCTTGCTGGCCACTGGTGGGTGATCAAACATCTATCTAAATATATAAGTAAATGGGAAGAGGAATTGTCCTGTTTTTAAGTACAGGTAGATTTTCCAGAAAAATGGCTTCCACCAGAGAGAGAGAAGCAAAGCCATCCAACTTTATACCATGTTGATTTTTCCAAGCCTTACTCACAATGAACAATGACTACATAACATGTTTAGATTCTTAACTCAAGTTGTATGGTCATCTTTTTATACTTAAAAAAAGCTACTCAAAAACAGGAACTCCTGTTTTTAATTTTAAAAATGCTTACCACTTGAAGGCACAGCATATCATGTTCACACACGCGCATTATATAAAGTATGGTTTGAGCACACATTAAACATAGGACTCTCCTTTCTGCCTATGGCAATGGCTATCCCAAATGTGGAAGAACGGAAGCATTGTTATAGATGTCTCCTTTTAGAGAAATCTGTAATTCTATGTGAGTGGCAGTCAGTATCAATGCTGTATAAAAACTCAATGAATATTTTGAACTGGTATTTTAATAATTACTCCATATTCTTGAGAGCCCTTATACTCTGACCTAGCAGACTGAAGGAGAACAGGAATGAAAGAAGGAAAGATAAAAGATATATTAGCAGAAAGTTCTATGAAGTTATATAAAAAAAAGTAAAAAAATTTTGTCAACATAAAGATAAGAAAACTCAACATGATTATGGTTCTAGTTACAGAAAGAATGTCAATTCAGGTAATTAGATCAAAGAATAACCATCCTTTGCTCACTTTTAACCCAGAAAAGTAGGTTAAATATTCTACATGTCATCCCAAATTATGATGGATGATTCATAATATCCAAACATGCCGTAAGAGAATAGCTAAAGGGACAAGCTCTTTTTATTTTTCATATAAAAATTTACTGGAGGCAGCCAAAGAACAAATGGAATTTCACAAGAAACTGGAAATTTCAAAAAGTGAATTGTATTTGCGATTACATGCCAATGGAGAAACCCAATCCTGAGTCACAGAGCAGGGAGAAGTTCCTCCCCATGCATGCACAATGACCGTTGTAAACTAGGGGATGTTGCACTTTATCAATGGTTTACAGATGAGAAATGCAGGCAAGAGAGAAAATAAAGAACTACCCTTCACTTTACTGACTGCTGTGATTTCACTTCCTCCTCTAACCGCTTCTTGCAGGCCAAAGTTAGTTTTAAAGAGCCTTAAGGCCTTTACAGAGCCTCAAGTTTTAGGACCTGGGAACCCAAACAAGTGAAAGGTCAATTCCTGAGCCATAGCTCCATAGAGATCCCATTTGAAAATCAAAGTAGACTTCACTGCTTTCTATCTTCACTTAAATCTGATACGATTAAAATGAATAAAACTATAGAAAAATTCATATATCTTAAGCCAATAAATTTCACATTAAATGGGCTTGTGACTTGACTTTTCTAAACAATTGGCTCACAATACAAATGCTTTTGGGTAGCACTCTTAACCAGGATTTTGCCAGTGTGGATGGCAGAATCTGAAAGAGCCCTAACTCTCGGGCTCTTTGAGAATCCAACAGGCCTCAGTCAAGTAGCCTGTCCGAAGCTAGGACCCAGGCTCCTCCTGACAATCCGGTCAGTGTTCTTCTCATTCCTCACTGCGCAGCGGTGCAGAACTTAAGTGAGCGGAGTTAGAAGCTGAGCACTGGCACCAGGACCGAGCTGCTTGTGGACAGAAACTTGGTTCTGTCTGAACTTCTGACCCTCTTAGTGGAGGAGGGAAATGTGTTGAAGGACACACGTAGCCATAAAGTACAGAAAGCATCCTGGTCCCATTATTGGTACACAGAATGGCCTTTCTCAATTGTAAAATAGCCGAAACCGGTTTGGCTCAATGGATAGAGCATCGGCTTGGGGACTGAAGGGTCTCGGGTTCGATTCCGGTCAAGGGCATGTACCTTGGTTGCGGCCATATCCCCAGTAGGAGGTGTGCAAGAGGCAGCTGATCGATGACTCTCTCTTACCGATTTTTCTAACTCTCTATCTCTCTCCTTTCCTCTCTGTACAAAATCAATAAAATATATTAAAAAAATAAATAATTAAAAGGGCTTCTCTGAAATTCTTAGCATCTATTCCTGGCAATTCGCCAGTAGAAAACAAGATTCATGACTACATAATCCCTTTATTCCTGGGTAAACTGAGTAAATGTCTCCTCACTACTGTTAACCCCTGAGACTACCAACAGTCATAATTCAGACTTTCATTTCCATCAGAAAGCTTTCATTTCCCCTCTTTCCATAATAGGGATTATCTCCTATGCTATTTATTTAGCTCTCACCAACCAACCAACGCCACACTATTAACTAAATGATAGAACCTTATGTTTCTATTGGGTCAGGAAACTCACTACACTTTCATTTGTAGGAAACTGGTGCTTATCCATTTAACACTGACATAATTCCCTTATTCTGAAAGGGTTTAACAATACGTGGTTCTAGCCTAAACCGGTTTGGCTCAGTGGATAGAGCGTTGGTCTGCGGACTGAAAGGTCCCGGGTTCGATTCCGGTCAAGGGCATGTACATTGGTTTCGGGCACATCTCCAGTAGGGGTTGTGCAAGAGGCAGCTGATCGATGATTCTCTTTCATCGATGTTTCTAACTCTCTATCCCTCTCCCTTCCTCTCTGTAAAAAATATATTTTAAAAAATTATTTAAAAAAAAAATACGTGGTTCTAATCAACCATTAGAGTTAAACTTATACCTTAAAACCTGGACATGCTCTTTGGCTAATCCAGTGTGTGCTGCTCTGCTGAGTTTGTGATTAAAATTACTTCAGCATGAAGGCTGGATGGAGACAAAGATACCAGTATCAGGAGCAAGGGCAGGGGCTCTGCAGCGCGGACAGATGGAGCCAGAGACAATGCCTCAGTTTGGTGAACTAAATTGAACACAAAGCAGTTTCATGTACTGGTGAACAAGTATCCATTGTTGATGGTGCCAACAGATAATTTTATGAGATTCATCATCACAAAGCCTATAGGTGAAAGTTTGGCAGAAGCCAAAGATCTATAGATAGGCTCAGTGAAACTGGCCAAAGAGAGGCATCTGTTTTAGATGAAAAGGAAATGTCGTGTTCTTGATTCCTTTTTGGACTCACAGACAAAGCAAGGAGTAAAACCTAGTACTACTCCTGTTTCATTTTTGTCCTCTTGATTCCTGCTGATGCCACAAGTCAGTTAGCCTAATGTTGGCTTTCTCTGCTCTCTTTCTCAAGTTGTCACCTATGTTTCCTTACTCGCATTCCTACAAAAAGGAAACATTACTAGATCATAGTACCATTCTTCAACCCTGGAACCTGGCTTTAATCACTTCCTCCTCTGGCATTTCCTCCTTCACAATATTACTGGGCAAGGGAAAACGAGGGGTCCTCCAGGGAGATCAGAGATGGGGACTCTTTCTCCTCCCAAGGGCCATTCGGATATTTATACCATCATTTGTGGGCCATTCAAAATTACCAAATTAGCCAGCTATCTTTGGTCAGACGTTTATTAACCCACCCCTAATGCCTTGGCAGGGCCAGATCAAATGATTTCTTGGGCCTTATGTGGCTGCTGCACCAAGTAGACCCAGCACCTTACAAACACTAGCCAGATCAGCATGTCATGAATTGAACTGGCTAAAGCCAGGTCATCCAAAATCGCACAAGGAGCCTGTTTAGAGCAAGAGCTGGTCCCTTTGTGCCTTTCTCACAGTAACCTCACCAACCTTCCCACTAAAATGAACCATGGGGATCGGTCGTAAAACGGGTCATGCCCGTCACTGAAGAGATCTGATCCCTCCTCCGTCCCTGCGTCAGAGCCGGTGTCATCCACGAACGCCTCATCATCAAAATCCTCCATCTCATCTTGCTGCTCGTCAGCCAGCTCAGTGATGTCGGAATCAGCCGTGGAAAAAGTGGGGGAGGGTGTGCGGTCGGCAAGGCGCTCATTCACACAGCCATGGAAAATGGGGGAGCTAGACACCAGGCAAGACGCGGATTGACACAGCCAAGGAGAGAGGAATAGTTGGTTAAACAGGAAGCCACAGGTGCCAACAGCACAGAACCCGCTGAGGAATCAACACAATAAAAGCAAGTGGAAAAGCAAAAGGATAAAATAGGCATAAGTCATCTGGCTCAGGTGAAAGGGAACAAGGACTGATCCTTAGAATAAGAAAGCAAAGGAAACACATGAGTGGAATATCCCAGGTCAATAATGTGCTCTGGAACGTTTTTATTCTCCGGTTACACAAAAGTTCAGCATCCAGGCCTCAAAAGAGCCACTCAATATTAGGCAAAATAATAAGGCCTACATTTTTATTCCAATTCCGATGTCATCTGGGAGCAGAAAACAAAATGGATGAACTGTATATAGCAAAGCAAGGATGTGCCTTGCATGGGTAAACGTTTGGCCAATTGGTCTCTTTAAAAACAGTCCACTATCAGAGTGGAGTGGAAAAGACCTCATCTTTTTCAAAATACGATGACTGAAGCTCTTCCTTTTCATCAAGGTCCTTTAAAACTATCAGAAAGGTTTTGCAATCGAAAACAATTTAAATTCTGAAATCATTAAGTTCAAAACTTATATTTCTCTGCTTTTTAAATTCTAAACCTTGAAGAACTTGACTCAATATGGACTCACAGGACACTATTTGTTTTCCTTAAATGTTGAAAGTATGTATATGATTAAGAGGTACAAGGGGACTACTAAGATGTGCAACCAATTCACCCTTGGCAAAGACTACAGTGGGATGAATTGCTTTTTTATAAAAAGTGAGGACATTTCAGCTCATGGAGAGGGTGCAGTATGTTAATTTGTCAGCCACATTACAATATTAAACTGTGGGACACAGATACAGGTTGTCTTTTTCTTTTAAATCAATCTTGTTCAACTATAAGTTATTTTGTGAATGAGCAGAGAGTCTGGGAAGACTGTCAATTACTTGGTTTGAAAGTCTGAGACTTACACAAATATACATGTAGAGAAAAAAATGTGAAGGGAAATATACCGAAGACACATACACAGAGTGGCTGTGTATGAGTGTATCAATTCTAAATGGGGCTGTTTTATACTTTTTTGCTTTTAACTTTCTCTAAAACATGCTGAAGTTTTATACAAGTAAAATAAAATAATTCATTACTTAAAAGGAAGACATCAAGTAAAATCATCACATACCTGCCGACAAGTTTGAACCAATGGAACCGATCATAAAACGGGTCACTGCCTGTCATGGTGGTTTCGCTTTCGTCTTGGGCGCTGGAGGCCATCTCACCTGCCCTGTCATACATCTCTCGCATCAAGTCCAGCCTCTGCCTATGTAGCAAACATAAAGAGCACCGGGTTAATATCACAGATGGCATTAAATAGTTTCACTTTGGAAGTAGGTTCCATGCAAACATTTTTAAAAACCCTCCCACTATTTAATGATATTAAACAAAATGAAAGGCCAGAAGCACAGAAACCAAAACAGTAACCAAAGTGTCGGAGACTAGAGATAAGCCATCAAAAATCAAGAATGGCCACCTAACCTCCACTGAGTCCTAGGAGAAATGTTTTTCAATGCTGTATGACATCTCAAATACTCTGAAATGGTGAAAAATACCTCATCATACTCAATGCTGAGGAAGCTATATTATAACTTGCCTGTTTATTACTGGTCAACCTGAGCTCCAGGACAGAGAAGATGAATACTTACTAGGTCCAAGACATAAATAGGTATCATAAAATATAAGAGGGCCTATGGAGTATACATCTAAATCCCATCTACAAATGACAAAAGTGTTTGCTGAGTGGGGATGCATTCACTTAGAAGAAAATGGATGAAGAGTAACATCACTGGCCAGTGACAGCATTTAGAGGTACAAAAAAGGAAGCAATAGCAGCATCTCAGAGAGGAGAGTCTGAAGGAGCCCACTTGAGCCCATTACTATTTCCTAAATAAAACAACTAGCTTTATGAATAACGTTTTCATACTTGAGTTTCTCCAACGACCAATAATGTGTTGCACCATTCTTCAGATCCTGGACTTCTACTGCCACCACTGTCCGAGGAAAAGGCCGGTCTTCATGAGTTTTTTCCATGTCAGTGGGAAGTAATTCCGGAGGCAAAGGGGAGTACAATGTGTCCGTAAGCAGCACAAACTGGAACTGCACCTAAATGGAAACAAGCAGCAGCCTTTGATTTTAGCCTGCAAGAATCAGAGATGAGGTGATATAATCATGCCCAACGGAAAAGAATTCAAACACATATCGCCGGCCAGCATGGCTCAGTGTTAAGCACTGACCCATGAACCAGTAGGCCACACTTAGATTCCTGCTCAGGGCACATGCCCAGGTTTCAGGCTCGATTCCAAGGAGGGGGTGTGCAGGAGGCAGATGATAGGTGTTTCTATCTCTCTCTCCTATCCTCTCTCTGAAATAAATTAAAAATATACAAATAAAAAACAACAATATATTATGTACTAAATAGTACATAGCTTGTGGTCAACTGATCACACACACACACACTCAAAAACACAAACACAAAAACTGGCCACTTATAAACTCATCCTAGACAATGATCCTAATGTCAAATTAGGCTATTTTAAAATTTTCTTTTCTCTCCTGGAAGTGTTTTTGCATAAATTAAATTCACAATATGTAATTTGGTTGACTGAAAACTTTTGTAGAACTTATACAAAAGACCCAAGAATGCATCTCTAGTCTCTCACTAATAGGTGGGTCAAGAGGAACATGTCACAGTTTTCAATTTTAAATTCAGAGGATTACAACTATGACTCTTAAAAGTGTTTACTATTGGGTCTAGTAATAATTAATGTCGTTTTTAAACATTCGTTTAAAATCTTGCTTGGCGTTGACTTGTATTGACATAACCTTCAAACACGTGGTATCTACGGAACGTGTGAAGTGCAATTAACAAGTTTTGCTTGAAAAAGTTTGTGTTTGGTTTGGTTTTTGTTGCAAAACTAGGGCTAAGAAGATGGCGGCTGAAGAGCATATTCGGCACTGCATGCTTTACGAGTTCCAATTAGGAAGAAAAGCAAGTGAGGCTGCAAAAAACATCTGTAGTGCTCTTGGTCAAGATGCAGTTAGCGCCAGAAAATGCCAGCGTTGGTTTGAGAAATTTCGCGAGGGAAATTTTTCGTTAGATGACAAGAGTGGCCGAGGCCGTGTGTCCAATTTTGATCAAGAAGCTCTTCAAGCTCTTTTGGTGCAAAATCCTCAAATTACCCAACAAGAGCTTGCGACAACTTTAAATTTTTCACAAAAAACAATTTCCAATCAATTGCGTGCACTTGGCAAAGTCCAAAAGTTTGGAAAATGGGTTCCTCATGAGTTGACCGACAACAACCGTAATCAAAGAGTCACAATTTGCAGTTCGCTCCTCTCTCGTCAAAACTGTTTGTCGTTTTTAGAGCAAATTGTTACCGGAGATGAAAAATGGGTGCTGTATGTTAATTTGAAAAGGCGGCCTCAATGGTTGGACAAAAATGAGGCTCCGCAGCCCACGCCAAAACCTGACTTGCATGCGAAAAAAGTGATGTTGTGTGTTTGGTGGAATTTTAAAGGAATTCTTCATTATGAACTTTTACCATCTAACCAAACCATTACAAGTGCAGTGTATAGTGCCCAATTGGAAAGGTTAACCCAAGCTTTAAGAGAAAAAGAACCCGCGCTGATTAATCGGAAGGGCGTAATTCTTCACCACGATAACGCACGACCGCATACTGCAAGAATCATTGCTGAAAAACTGCGCCAGTTGGAATAGGAAGTTCTCCCTCAACCTGCATATTCTCCTGATATTGCCCCTTCCGATTACCATTTGTTTCGTTCTTTGCAAAACTTTCTTCTTGGAAAAAAATTTAATAATGAAGAATGCCTCAAAAATGCATTGACCGAATTTTTTGCATCAAAATCACAAGAATTTTACAACAGAGGGATTAAAATGCTTCCTGAGCATTGGGCACAAGTAGTAGAAAACAACGGCAACTATATTGTTGATTAAATTTTGTTGTATTGTTTAAATAAATTTGATTTAAAAAAGGTATTAGAAAACGACATTAATTATTACTAGACCTAATACATGGTTAGTGCTTTGCATGCACCATGTCTTTATCCTCACTCCCATCTTATTTTCACCAATAGATATTCAATTAAATGCTACCATACAGCAGTAAGAAAGACATAGCCACTGCCTTCCTTTAGTCTACTTGAAGGAAGGAGTAATTAGTAAATAATTACACGAGATGGGTGGCTGAGATTATGAATGAAGACTCATTATTCCCTTCTTTCAAATTAGAATATAGCCGCAGGAGATGATATGAATTTGCCCAGAGCCAGGCAGCCTGTGCTCTTGCCTATCCACAATATTGCTCCCCTCCACACACCCACACACACCCACACCCCGGTAATCTTAGCAGTCAGGACACTGCTGAAGAGTGGGTCATATACTTTCCCATCCTCACATCCTCACAGGCATTGTTGCCAAGCTCATTTTGTAGCTGAGGGAATGGAGGACAGGGCTGTTAGTGTGTCCACACAACCAGGAGAGCTGGGACTGGAACCTAGCTGTCTGGGTGCAGAGCACATGCGCTTGTCCAATCCACAAAACTGCCTCCGAGGCCCTGAATAGGAGGGGGCTCATGGGACTTAGGTGCAGACTTAATGGTAAAAACTAAAAGAAAACTGAAAATTTCAGAAACCTAGGAGAAGCATCTTTCTACTAACATGCTTCTCTAGCTCGTCAGGAATACAGTCTCCTTATTTGTAAAGTACCGTAAGCTAGAGAACGTGTTGTTTTTAAAATTTTATGTAATAATATAATTAGTACCTATTATGTTCTGGGCACGTATATCAAATAAAGTTACATATAAATCTGTTTCAAAGCCAAAAGCAACTGAGTTCACCCAGAGAAAGGCTATTTCAAGATGAGCACCATGAACCCACAGGCTCAGTGTCGGCTGCCTCACTCCCTCCGTACCTTCTTCTTCAGTTCCACGCTGATGGCATTGGCCTCCTTCAGGTACACAGCATTGCCCCAGAGTAAGTCCCTTAAAGAAGTAAACTGGTGAGACTTCCACTTCCGGAAGGCCCACTGGGCCAGCTCAAATTCATGTTGTGTCCAAGGAACTGAAAGAGCAAAGGCAGGGTATTGATGGTGACCTCATAACCAGGTAGAAACTATAATATGTCCTCTCCTATTCGTCACTTCTATCAAGGACAGTATTTTCCAGCCAGCTGCTTTTGTTTTCTTACTTTTGGTAAAGCTTACTAGATTCTGTTGATATTGACAGCAGTATATACATTTCAGAAAACTTCTAAAAACCCTACTGTTTATTTTAAAACAATACATAAAAGAAATAGAGTTTTCTTTTTTCTTTTCTTTAAAAGGATATGTCTCTAATGTGTGGATTATAATATAAAAAAACCCTAGGATATTATACAATGTCATATACATCTATTGTTCTTTCTGGTACAAGGAAAAATGGTCTTATGTTTTATACCTAGATATTTAGAAACAAAGAATTTAGCACATAAATTAAGAGTTGCTTCAAAGTTCATTTGGAACCTGTAATCACTGAGAGGCAGAGTAGAGAAGTGAAATGTGACCAAAGTTTATACTGCAATATATGGCTAATAAATTCTGGAAGAATTAAGAGAGGTACATTTAGTGTACATTGATATGTTCCTAAGTCCTCAATGAAAAATCCCTGACATACGTCATAAACCAGGAAATAGAACAGAACATATTAACAAAGATTAAGCTCGGTGTTTATCTGCAATATATATATATATGAACTTCACATGTAATATTGTACAGAAGTACACTGCCCCAGAGGTTTATATGAAGACTTCTCAGAAATCTTTTGTTCTGAGGATCAGTCCCATCTTATAGACTACAGCTTGGATTCTCAGCACTGAGCATCTTTAAAAAATCATCTTCAAATTGGCACAGTGAAATGTCAATAAATGGTATGGTCAACTAGGGTCCAATCCATCTGTGATTGCAGGTAAAGGACTAATTTGATAATCAGATCCCAAAGATATACACAGGAAAGTGTCAATCTCTAGATTTCACCTTCTTCTTCCTCTTCTTCCTCTTCAGTTGTTTCTGCAGCCAGGGATCGAGTCTCCACCTGCTTCTGCAAGGCCTGCAATTTACTCTCATAGTCCTGAAGGAAGAGAAAGGAGACAACATGTAGGAGAGAGGAGATAAGTGAGAAGGAAACGGGAAGGAATATTGGGAAAAGTAAAGATAGCAAAAGAAAAAAGAGAAAGAGAAAGTGAGAGACAGAGAAAGAGAAAAAGAGAGAAAAGAGGCAGAAAACAATGATAAAAAGACAGACATACAGATAAATACTTAAAAGAAAAAACCCCACAAAGCACACAACCTAGTTTGTAATGGGTAAATGCTACAAAAAGAAAAATTTAACTGCAGTATCTCTTTCCTCAGACTCGAGCTCTTAAAAAAAAAAAAAAATCCTCACCGAGAATATGTTTTTATTGATTTTGAGAGAGTGAGGGAGAAAGAAACACTGATGAGAGAGAAAAACAATGCCTCTCACACTCGCCCCGACCGGGGAACTGACCCACACCTTTCAGTGTACGGGAAGATGCTACACCCAACCGAGCCACCCAGCCAAGGCTCAAGAGCTCTTTATTTGAGGTTGTGGAGGAGAAAGGAGGGGTTTCGAGGGGAAAAATGCAAGTGCCCCTTAATGTTAAAATACATTTTAAGTAGTATCTTTTCATATCAAGCAATTCCAGAGAAAAACAATACTGAAAAAGATTAAATTCACCAGCATCAGCAACAATTCCAATTAAATAGCTGTTTAGATGAGAAAAAATTAGACTCTGAACTCCCTTCCCTGTGGATGAAATATTACTAACTTTGCAGCGGGAGGATGAGGCTAGCCTTCAGGAAACCTAGAGATCACAGTGCTGTCTAACGGCTGTCTCCCCCACTATTCTGTGAATTTCCTGAGGTCAGGGATCTGTCACTTACCACTGAATCCCCTGCATCTGGCACACAGCTGTCTCCCAGCTCAGATTCACTGTCATATATTGATCTTGTAATGAATAGTTCTCAAAAGTGATTATTTCTAGATTAGGGGTAGGCAAACTATGGCCAGGGCCAAACTCAGCCCACTGCTGTTTTTGTAAAGTTTCATCGGAACACAGTCATGCCCTTTTTTTTTTTTTTGCATGTTGTTGATGGCTGCTTTTCTGCATAGTTGCAAAAAAAAAAAACCCCAACAACTAAACTATTGACCATCTGGCCCTTCAAAAGCTTGCAAACTCCTGTTGCAGACTAATGATTCCCAAAGGTGAGTGCTGATCCAGCAGAATCCGCATCACCTGGAAACTTGGAAACTACAGAAATGTGAATGATCAGGTCCTGCGGCACGCCTCCCAAACCAGAAACTTTGGGGTGGGCCCAGCAATTGTCTGCTTTACTTTCCAACCATGATCCAAGCAAGAGCCTTCATCGCTTTGTGGACTGTTATACACAGGGTTTACCTGACTGCAAGCTGATCTGTTTTCTTCCTGAAAATAATCTATCGGAACTCTCCCGTTCTCTCTGCCCTTGTTGGGAAAGTGCGGTTTCACCCTGCACTTCACCCTGCAACTTCCCAACTGGGGCAATGGCTCTCAACTTACCTCCTTCCGACAAGTCTCCAGCCCAGACTTCGGCTATTTCTAAATGAATCTAACGATGCAATCTCCCTGTAGACAACCATTTGGTAGCTTCCCAACACACTTACGATAAAATCCCAACTCATGGATGAGAACGTGTGGGCTGACTGTGAGCGGTGAACCTTTTCAGATAAAATATGTCTAAAAGCTTATAGATCCGTAATGAGTCCCACTCGTTACTGGGGAATAAACCTTCCTTTAATATGTAAAAATAAATAAATAAATAAATAAATAAATAAATAAATAGGTAAATAAATAAATAAAAGCTTGTAGAATAAGTGGGAAAGGAAGATGCATGCTGAAAAGACAAAACAGAATGCCCCAAAGGAGCTAAGCAGACTTGAAAGAATTCTTTTTTGTTAAGTATTCTTAAAGTAGATTCCGATGTTTGTTTTTTAATATTTTTTCATTGATTTTTTTTAAGAGAGGAGGAGGAGGAGGGTGAGAGAGAAAAACAAACATTGATGTGAGAGCTGTACATCCATCAACTGCCTTTTGCTCACCCCCTACTACGAATAAAGCCTGCAACGTGGACATATGCCCTGACCGGGAACCGAACCAACCACCTCTTAGTGCAGGGAATGAAGCACTACCAACTGAGCCACACCAGCCAGAGCGACACTGATGTTCCCATGAAAGATGTTCAAGAGATAGCAACTGTGGTCGTCCCCAAACATTTTCAAGAGAAAACCTAGTGTGTGGTGAAAGATGAAAAAGATGACATAAAAAATGAGTCTGATATTAAGAAGAACAGAAAGAATTTTCTAGGCCAGCATGGACAGTACCCCATATAGATGAACCAGAGGCAGAGAAAAACACTGAAGGCAATCGAGAGAAAGGAAAGAGAAAAGCAAAGCAAAAGTAGTGAAGGCAGTTAAGGATCTGGCCTGGTACACTTTTTAAAATTTGAAAATGCCACCTGGGACAGATCTTTGATTAGAAGGTATACACTGATTTCAGCTTCCAGCAAATAAAAATTTTATTTCCTTTTTTTTTTTTTAACTGGTTCTTTTTCTTCAATTCAAACCTCAAACTTGTTTTGTGAACTTGAATAAACTATTTTTTTCTTTCATGAATAAAAGCTGTATGATATTTTAATTGGAAGCTGTCTGATAGGCAGGGGTTATCAAACATCAAAATTCTATCAAATATTAATGTGGCTGTTTTCGGTATTATTAAAAATAAATGATATTATATTAACTCAGATTTAAAGACACTGAGTGTTATTTTAAAATATAATATCAATGGATCTTATAAGCAGTGCTTGTTTGGAGTTTGATTTTGTGTAATTCATAATAAAAGGTATTTTGTTTTTTTAAAAATCCCAACTCTTCAGCATGCCAGGATCCAGCCCTGTCCACCCAACTGCCCGCATCGCTCACCGTAACTCCCCGGCACAGCGGGTATTCTCAGCACCCCGTTACCCCCAGTTCCCTGCCCTACTTCCTCGCCCTCTCCCTGCCATTCTTCACTTGGATGAATTCCCAGTTGTACTCTGGCACTCAGCTCTTGGCTCAGGACTTACTCCTTCAAAAGCCAGTTCCCATTCTCCCCATTCTCACTCTGTGCACACAACCATATCTGTGCACATCACACTGCACGGAATCCGTGTCGCCCTAGCAGTAGTTCATCTTGGCAACTCCCCCGCCAGTTTCTCCAACAGCAGAAAAATACAAAGTACCTGAAGGGAAAGAGTATGGGGCCTGAAGCCAATCAATCCAAGTTCCTCATTAAAAACACCTCATGATACAATGTACGATTGTGTTTTTCCATATAAAAATGTCACATCTAAATTTTCAATAAGACTGATGGTTCACTCCAGAAAAATCTTCTACTCTGTTCTGTCTCACTGCTAGCAAAGCACCAATTCTCTGGGTGGAGAAAAGCAGTGGTTAAAGAAAAAAAAAGAAAAACTAAACGGTTACTCAGCAGCTTTTTAGAAATGTAGTTCCTATCCATATGAAAGGAAGTATACGTCTTCATTTATAAAAATTTCAAATCAAGATTAATAAAAAAAAACCCTGAATACATAGTTAAAGGTGAACTTAAAGAAATCTGAAAGTGGTACTTGCTGTCCTCTCGTTCACCTTCTATTGGAAAGTTTAAAATAAATGTAGCATAAAGTAGAGGGTACAGTTCCTATTTAAGATACAATTTTAATAAACAGAAAAGGTAACAAGAGCAAAAGCTTAAGCTAATCAAGTTCATGTATAAATTTGAAAAGAAGAAAAAAAGACTTGGTTTGCAACCACCTTCAAAAGCAAAAGCAATAAATAAAAGTCAAGATCAGGCCTATTACCATCACCCTGTCTCACCTTTCCCTCCTCCCACATCAGTGAGAAAGCACACTTTTAAAAGAAGATTTCAACTTTTATTAAATGAGGACTTTATTTTTTTTTGAATATTACAAACTCTCCTTTTCTGATAAGGAAGATCTTACACTCAAAGACAATCTTCAACAATTAAAAAAATTAAAGGAGAAATCCATAGTTCATGAACAAGAAGATTTTACAGTAATGATGGCAGGAAACCAATACATTTCACAACCTAGTGGTTCAAACTAAGTATCGAGAGCAGATTATAAAATCTGAAAGAAGACATGAACTGGACAATTATGAAAACGCCTCAGAGTGCAGAACCGGGCTCTGAGAGTACAGAACAAATGCTCGCTTTGCATTGCGCCTCAGAAGGCATTTTCATTAGGTTCACCAGGCCATGGCAGCTTCCCCTCCTCCCAGTCTTTTGTACAAACCATTAAGGCAAGTCTACAAAGGACCAGTAAGGCACAGGGGAACAGCAGCTGACCGGAGGAAATCTATGTAACTTCCTGGAGGCTAGTATCTAGTAGCCTATAATGCAGATACTGGTATGGTAAACTGTATTTTGTTTTATTTTTAATTTTTTCAATACCAACCTGCACCCAAAACACAAGAAATCATTTCAAGTCACTTCAGTGGAATAAGCAATACTTCACTGCATTTCTGGTAAAAGAAACAATTCACAGCACTACAAAGAATTAGAAGCAAAATTAAAAGAAAATCCCTCTAGTTTAGACTTATAAGCAGAATGTTTTTGACTCTCTAAGGAACACCATTTGGCTTATGAAATTATACCAACCAATTAAATATCCTCTACATTTCCATTATTGGCAGATCATTATATAATTTCAATAGCAAAATGCTTTTTCCCCTCACTTCACTATGATAATAGCTAAGAATACTTCAATAATACAACGGTTTAATGATGACCATTTCTCCTTGATCTTGTATTTAAGCTTAAGAGAGAGAGAGACTGTCAAAATTAAAAAACAAATGGCAATACAGGCTATACCAAAAGCTCACACAGAAGTATGGCACTAGTTACTTACTTAGTAAAAGTCAATGAAATAATTTTAAAACAAAAATTATTTCCTAAGACAAATGTGCTCTCAAATGCATGAATTCAGGGACATATGTGGCAGCCAGTCGAACCTTGG